TTTCTTCTTATGCTGTCGCTTTCTATCTCTCTCTCTCTCTCCTTCTCGGTGTCTGTGTGCGTCCGCTGTGCCGCTCGCACCTCGCAAGGTTGCACGCGCTTGCCTGCGGGCAAACAAACCGACTAAAATAAAAAAAAACCTCCCCATTAAAACAAACAAACAAGGGGCTGAGAGAGAAGGATAACAAAAACGAGAGAATGTCGGCGAAAGACTTCTTCTCCATCACGGATCCCGTGCAGAAGGAGCAGGCGAAACACATGATTAGCAAGCTGCAGTCTAAGATTCTCTACAGTGAGAAGTACTACGACAACGAGTACGAGTATCGGCACGTCATCCTGCCGAAGGACTTCTCCCGCCTAGTCCCCCGCACACGCCTGATGGAGGAGTCGGAGTGGCGCCAGTTGGGTGTGCAGCAGTCGGTCGGGTGGCGCCACTACATGTCCCACAAGCCGGAGCCGCACGTGCTGCTCTTCAAGCGCCCCAAGACGCAGGGATGATTTGCTCACGTGGTCTACAGCTATTTGGTGGTGCGTTTTCGTTTTTTGTGTGCCCCCCTTTTTGATTCTTTTTTTCAGAATAGAGAAGAGAGACGGGTCGGGATGGCCGGATGTGGCTGCGACATGGCGCGGCTCCCCCCCCCCCTTTTTTTTGTTTCTCCTTGTTGATCTTCGTGCTGGCAGCGATGGATGCGTCTATGTCTGCCCTTTTTTTATTTCGTTTTTGCCTGGTGTATGTGTGAGGCGGTACGCGCAACACCGCCGCGGACAAGAGATGCCGATGTCTTTGGCGTTCGACCACTCACACGCCCTTCTAGGCGCTTCTAAAGAGAGCGAAAAGGGGAAGAGTGACCGCTGGGGAGGAGCAGAGGGAGAAGAGAAGCAGCACAACGAGGGAGAGGGGGAGAGCGATAGATACCCAGAGGCTGAAGACGTATTCAATGAGACTCTGGAAAGGAGGAAAGAAACGAAGAAGTGAGCAGCTTCACTTTAGTTTGGCGCCTTCCTGGAGTGGCGTTGGTGGCCCTACGCGACACCTCCGCAGACAGATGTGCGTATGTTGATGTGTCGCGGACTTGCTGGTGCGAAGAGTCTGGTCCTTCCCTCCTTTCCACTTGTGCGCTTCCCCCACTAGGCTCCACTTTGAGGCCGCGCGTGGACGCGACGAACAGAACAACAAAAAAAAGGCAATCTATTTTCAACAAGAAAAAAAGAGAACGAGAAGAACAACTAGTGTAAAGAAAGGACGAGCATGAAGATGCTTCTGCTACAACTCCTTTTCCTGGTAGTATTTCTACCGCACCCCCTTGTCGCAACGGCGTTAGTCGACTCTTGCACTGTTAATGGGCACGATCTCTCACTCATACCCGGAGCTGAACTGGGCGCGGAGGAAGAGAATGCGGACGGGGGCGGCACTGGAATAAACTACACGTGGTCGATTCTTGTCTGCCAGAATAGAGATGGCTACGTGAAAAAGTCCCTGGCAACGGTGCAGGAAAAGATGACTCTATCTTCTGTCACTGTGGAGGGCGATGATCTTCTGCTGAGGTTCGATGGAGATGGGGTGGGAAGTTCCCTCATGGATTTGACTCTTGGTTGCGGGGGTTCTGCGGGATTGACGTGGCCCGAAGATAAGTATACAGTGAAGAGGGTCGGTACTGCTCTCCGAAGCAAATATACTGCAAAGGTGCTCACAAGTGTTGTGTGCACAGCCGCCAAGTCATCTGGCGGCTGCGGTAGTGGCTGCGCCTTTGTCGTGATTTTTTTCGTTGGCCTTGTGGTTTACATCCTTGCCACTGTCCTGTGGTACTACCTGCGGAACGGTAAGCGGGGTGTGGACCTCATCCCACACCGCGAGTTCTGGGCGGATTTTCCATACCTTTTGAAGGACGGCGCATTGTACGCCTACAGCAAGATCGCTGGCTGCTTTGGCGGCGGTACTCGTGTGGCAACATATGAGGAGATTTACTAGAATGACAATATAGCGAACCTTGACATAAAAGGTAAGCGCACGGGGGTGTCTTTTCTATTATTTTTCGTTGTATTATATATATATATAATTTTTTTTTTATGTCCTTTGTGGTTCAATTATTGCGGTATCGGAATAAGTGGGGACACCGCTTCCACTTCAGTCAGGGAGGGGAACGGCGTGAGTGTGTGTTTGTCTATGCGTTTGCGTAGCACCCGCTTCTTCGATGAGACGGAGTCAACGCGGCGTGGGGACTAGTGTTGTGCGTCATTTCTCTCATTCCTACTCTTCTTTTGTGTACTGTCTCACTGCTAGGAGGGATCGAGAGATGGCGGGACTGCGCCACGGACGGTGGGTGCTGCTGTTCGCAGGCCTTGGGGCAGTGTTGCCGGTGGCCGCTGTGTACTATAGACTTGCTTGGCGCCGGGGGCCGCGTGGCACCGCGGGTGGACCCAGTGGTAGCAGCAGCAGCACTATGGGCGCATGCACTCGCGATTCTGAGGAGGAGAAGGATGCTGCCGCTCTTGGCGATAATGAGCGGCAAAATTACCACGCTGCTCTTCGACAACTGAAGGATAGGGCGAACATGCATTTTCAGTCTGGGCGTTTTGAAGAGGCGCTGGAGACGTACCAGGGCTGCCTTGATGTGTGCGCTGCGCTGGGCGCCGCTGATAAAGAGGCGGTGCAGGTCAATCAGATTGTGCGCTCAAACGTTGTGCTGGTGTTTCTGAAGCTGCAGAGACCGGAGGAGGCTCGGATGGTGGCGACATTCCTGCTGCAGGACGAGATGACCCCTGTGGAGGGTGAGTTAAAAGTGAAGGTGCTGTATCGTCGCGGCAAGGCGAGCCAAGAGCTTGGGGACCGAGAGTCAGCCCTGTGTGACTTCAGGGCGGCTATTATTTGTTCCCCCGACGGGAAGAATCCTGCTGCAGAAAGGGAAATTGAGGCTCTCTCACGTAATTAAATTATCAACTGGGTTTTCAAAGCGCCGCTTCTTCTTTCGACAAATTGTGTGCGTTTCTGCATCGAGGCATACTCGCATAGCATATATATATATATATATATATATATNTGTGTGTGTGTGTGTAATTCTCATCTAATGTATACTGGCGAGTGAATCCGTTTTCATACATGTCTGAAGTGGCACGTGCTCTTCTCGTTGTTTTTATTTTACCTTACCAAAGCGAGAGGGCCTTTGTGTGGTGCGAATAAGCTACACCTTCAGCAGCGCTTGGTCCTTAGATACCGCGGGCTACAGGGTGAGAAATGCTTACGCCCGTCTTTGTCTGCGTACAGGACGAATCTTTTGTCATTGTGTCAATAACCTTGTCCGCGCTGTGCAAGGTGACGAAGGCCACATTCAGCATAGTGGGCCATCAGTTCACGTTCCATTGCGCGCCTTATTATCTGCGGTTAAAGTTCGACCAATGCATCGCGGAGGGGCGCGGTGAGCGGGCCACGTTCGATGTCGAGAGGAATCTGCTGACGGTGTACATCCCCAAGGAGCGCACTGGTGAGGTGTTCACCCAGCTGGACAACCCGGCCTACCTTATCGCCACTGAGAAGGAGCGGAAACAGATGGTGCAGCTTGTGGGAGGAGCCGACTCCGCAGAGGCGGCCCTCGACGAGGAGGAAATGGAGTTCCACCAGCAGTTAGCGTGCGGTCGCTGTGGTCCAGCAGAGGGTTGTGGCGATTACGGCTTTGCAGGGAACTTTTCGGGGCTGTTTGCGTCGTTGGACGCCAATGTTGCCGCGGACGTGCTTGACCTGCCACACAACCCCGACGAGACGACGGCGACACAACGACGCGGCCTGCGCCTGCAAGCGGAGAACGACGCTTTCGACGAGGACGCCCTTCTAATGTCCTTCGAGGACGCTGACGGCGAGGTGCAAGGGCTGTTGCAGTATGTGCCTCAGCACCGCTTGGACTATATTGCTGCTCTCGACGCGGAAGGCGTCCTCTACGTGGCCCCATCCAATGCAATGATGTCACCCGCATCGACAGAAGGGGCAACAACAACAACAGCAGTAGCAGCAGGCGACGGTGACGCGCGGGAGGAGGAGGACGCAGTTCTACCGCTTTCCACCGGCGTTGTGGATGTGTGGGCTGGCAATATCGCGGAGTTCAAGAAACCCCTTGTTGAAGAGGTTTCACCACCGGAAGAAGAATCGATGAGAAGAAAAGAACCTGCTGGTGATGCAACAATGGCGACTTCTAACGAGGGAGATGGAAGCCTGCGCCTCCCACGTCTCTCACTTGCCGTCCCGCGGAACCGTCCTTGTGCCTCATTCACCACAGAGGAACATGAAGTAATGATGCGCATTACAATACCGCGTCTGCTGTTCCCACCAAGTCCGTCCGTTGTTGATGCCCTTACGGTGGATATTCTGTTCGCTGAGGCATACGATGACATTGTGACTGAAGGAAGCGGATGTAGCGAGTCGCTGTGGAATGTGTTCAAACTGAGCCCAGCGCTGTCGTGGCTGGATCCGGCTGATAACGTGTACGACGCGTGTGTCTTTTTCGCTCGCCGCGCCCTCATCTATCCATTGCACCGGAACTTTGCCCTCGTCCAGCGCGTCTTCTCGTCGGTGGGAGTTCGGTTACTCATGGGTAAATCGTACGTTCTCAAGGCGCTGTTGCGCATACGTGCCATTCTTGCGCACGCCGAACACCGGCACGTCCTTGTGACACTCTATCTCAATCCCCTCATTGGCTACTGGCTGAATGCTGCGGATGCAGATGGGCGTCTGCTGCGTGTGGCGCTGGAGCTGCACGCACACAGCACGCGCGTGGAGCCGGAGGTGGAGACAGTCGCCGCTACTGCTGCTGCCTCGCCGCTTCTTGTGCGAGAGAAGCGGAAGCTGCTTCCGCTGCACCTGCTTAACCTCGGCCTGCCCATTGCGTGACGTGATGCTGCCACGGAACCAGCAAGAAAAAAAGAAAGCGTACATCACAACCAGAAGGGGGGAGGCGAGGTTGGGAAAGGAAAGAGACATGGAGGGAAGGAACAAAGAAAATCGTGATACGAAATGGAACGGTTAACAACGGACGTGTGGTTACGTCTGTCTTGGTATATATATATATATATATGTGTGTGTGTGTGTGCCTCGCATTGACTGGGCTTATGCGAAACAAAAGACGATCTGTATTGTTTCTTTATTTCTTTCCCTGCATTGGCTCTTTCATGTGTGTTTCAGTACAAAGTGGTCGCCGTGGGTGCCGCAGCGTCACCCCGTGATGGCTGCTGTGCCCCTTGAAGCCGATGATAGCAGCCCCATTGAGGTGGCGTCGTATTTCTTCAACGGCGCCGGCGACACACGGGTGGGGGCGATGGATTTCTCGCTGGATGGGCGCTTCTTCATCTCATCGCACACCGATGACGCGCTGCGCCTCGTCGACGTCGCGAGCATGCGGCACACCGAGACAATCCAGCTGGAGTTGTTTGGTCTGCACTGCGCCAGGTTCACTCAGTCAACCGACGTTGTGTGCGTCGCCCCCCGGCACTGCGCAGACGGCCACCTGTACCTTCTGAGCCTAACCACCGCGCAGCTCTTCTCCGCCATGGCGTTCGTCAGCGACGACGTGCCGGAGTTGCGCGCTGCCACCAACACGCCGGCGTACTCAACAGTCGCGCAGAACCCTCAAACGGACGTGATCGCATCGGTGCTGGCGACACAGGGGCGCCTGCTGCTGTTTCACCCGCTCATCTCTGGTGCGTTAGCAGCCTCTGGCGAGCGAACAGTGGTGGGAAACAGAAGTACAGTGGCGTTTAGCCCAGACGGGAGCAAACTCGTCATGGGGGACGATCACCACGTGCGTTTATTCGATTGCCGCAAGTTGTTCACATCGCCATTGGTGTCTTTGGAGAACAAGGCGGTATTCACTGAATCAGGCGCGGCGACACGGTGCAAAGGCGCCGAGGTAAGTGCCGATGGCTCGCACCTGCTGCTCACATCGTCCGGGGGAGAAGCAGTTGTGTATGATACGAAGCATGATAAGGTGACATGTTCTTACTTTCACGATGCTGCACGACATCAATTTACAGGCGCAGACGATGCGGTTGGTGCCAAGTACGTGCACCCGAACGTTGTAGGATCGATGGTGGTGCAGCCATCTACCTTTATGGATGCGGGGCGTCACCTGCTGGTGTACGGCGGGCATAGCACACAGAGCCCCCAGGAGTGCCAGAAGGGGGTGCTCAAGTACGAGCTGCGGTGCAAGGACAACGATGTGCTTGTTGCGTTGTGCGTCAATACACGTTACGCACTAGTGGCCACCGCGGCGCGTGGCGTGACATGGTGGGCCTTCAATATAGACACATAGAAGGGGTGAGATGGGGTAGGGGGTAGAGGGAGAATGTGTGGGAGTGTGTCTCTCTCTCTCTCTGTGTGTGTGTGTGTGTGTGTGCCTAAATATGCATTGGGGAGAGTGAGTGAAGGGGTTGCCGAGCAGTGACATGGCGATTGCGTGCGGGCCCTTCCCCCCGGCGTGTGAGCCCCGCCCCGCCAGGTGCGGAGGTTGTGCCACGAGACGCGATGAAGCGTGGTCGCTTAATGAAGGCGTTCCACTCACTTTTCCACATTCACCTTGCGTGTTACATTTTCCTTTCCCCTTTCATGCCATTTTTCTTACCTTGCCACTTCATTGTTCTTTTTTTTCCTTTTCTGCTATTCTTTTTTGCCTTTGTTGTTGGCCTTTGAAGTGTCACACAATTTTTGAACGGCCCGTTTGCCGGCTGAGCAGCACGAACGTTAAAGAAAACAGCGAATATCTGCGCCATTCCGGTCGTCAGACGAGACAGAGGAGGGATAACAATGCGTGTACTTGAACAGCAACAGGAGGTGTGGCAAACACTCCGAAATCCCGCGAAGCATACTGCGGGGGAGCGGAAGCGGGCGTACTTCTTTCTGTTCGCCTACTGCCTCGGCATTGTGGCGTTGTTACTGAGTTGTCTGCACTTTATTGGCGCCTGGGTCGCGTGTGGTTTGCTACAGCTGATCATGCTCATCTTCTCCATGATGTACGCCCTCACTATTGCGGATTGCCGCGATAAGTGCCTCAGCGTGATGGAGTGCGACCGTACCGCCAACCCGGTGTTGGAGGTGTACGTTGCACTGCGCGTGCTGCAGGTNGCGATAAGTGCCTCAGCGTGATGGAGTGCGACCGTACCGCCAACCCGGTGTTGGAGGTGTACGTTGCACTGCGCGTGCTGCAGGTGATACACGCCATGTTTTTTCTTAATAGCGTCGTTGTGCCGGCTTCCTTTCTGCTGGCCTTGCTGTTCATATCGTGGCGCATCTACCGCGGCTCCGTCTTCGTGGACGCAACGAGCCTGTGGCGGGAGATCGGAAGGCTGGAGGTGGAGACGTACTTCCACCTCGCCGTGGATGTGGTCCTGTTCGTCACATACCTTGTCTGCATGATCTTCGGCATCGTCGCCATGTACTCGCGGTAGCGGAGCCCGCGGCGCATGCAGTCATGCAACACGTTAGCAAAACGAAGAAAAAGGAAAACGAGGATGAGAAGGGGGCGGTGACGGCCTGGGTGGTAACCCGCCGTCTGTTTCTGGCCCCCGGCCGCTTTTTTAACTCTCACTCTTGTTCTCTCTAACCGCTGCGCGCATTTGGTGGGCGAGGCGGTGTGTGACTCGCCGGTGATAAGATGGCTATCTATGCTCCGTGCACGAGAGGTGGGGGAAGGAAACACGAGCGGGATAGACCGGTATGCTCGGAGGAAGAGGAGGAGGAAGAATTGGAAGAAGGGGATGAGAACCTAAAACAAAAGCAAATGCCAGTTTGGAGGCAGCGATCAATGCGGCTTTTGCCCTGTTGCCACAACCTGCACATGTCGCCGTATGCCCTTTGTGTTGTTTTGTTCTTTGTTCTCCCTCCCCCGCGCTGGCTATCCATTGCCGTTGCGCGGATGGCGCCAGAAGAGAAGAAATAAGGAGGAATGGCGGAAACGGCTGCTGAATGTGGCCTCGGCCTTGAGGAGCTGCACCGCATGCTGCATACCATCCTGCACTCCACCGACAACATTGAGCGACGCAGTGTGGAGGCGGCCGTCGTGCGTGCTCTCTCCACGCCCGCCACGCTCATGCTGCTGGTGCGCGTGCTGCAGGACGTCCAGGGAGTCGCCCCCGGGGTTCGCCAACTCGCTGCCGTGCTTCTTCGCAAAAAGGTCTTCTCGCTGTGGCACGCGATCCCGGCGGAGTCGAGGGTGGAGCTCAAAAGCATTCTGCTCGCACAGCTCGGCTACGAGCCTGTGCGTGTGGTGCGCTTTGCCGTGGCGCACCTTGTGTCGCGCCTGGCGAAGGCTGACGCCCTTGAGAGTGAGGAGGGGTGGCCGGAGCTGCAGCAGGCGATCCGCTCGGCGGTCGATGACCCACGCGCCGATATGCGCGAGTTGGCGATGGTGCTCGCGTACAGTATTGCTGAGGTGCTAGGCGAGGGCCAAAGTCTCAGTGAGCTTGTCGCTGAGGCCGTTCTTCGGGGCATGACAGACGCTGACGATGGGGTGCAGCGGGCTGCCCTGAAGGCGGTGGGCGCGCTGTTGCCGTTTCTAGAAGACAAGAGACAAGAGCGTGAGCAGCTGCTGCAACGCCTTGTGCCTTGCTGTCTGGAGCTACTCGCGCAGTACAGTGCGGTAGAGGCCAAGACAACCCTCTGCGTGGATGTGCTGGATCTGCTGGAGCAACTCGTCGAGGACCTCAGCGTAAAGAGGCACGAAGGCCTTCTGCGCACCATGGCCCTCTCGGTGCTGACGGTGTTCGTCAATACGGCGAATAGACCCCGCGTCCGACAAAACTGCAGCGAGATGTTGGTCAGCCTCGTGAACATGAAACCGAAGTTTGTGTCGCACGCACTACTCGAGCCGATCGTTGCGGCATGTGTCCAAGTGATGGGTGAGGACGGCACCATCTCGCTGCCTGAGGTGGCCCACGTGGAGGATGCTGACGAAGATAGCGGCAACGATGACGATGACGCGGAGATGCTGCATGTGAATCCTCCCTGCATGTACGCCGGTCGCCTCCTCAGCACGCTGGCAACCAAAATCTCTGCCAAGTTGTTCACCGGCGCGTTACTGCCGTTTGTATCGCGCGTGTCCGACAACCCGCACGCCAGCCCGCTCGAGCGCAAAGCTGGGATTCTCTCGCTTGCCTGCCTGGCGGAGGGAAACCCCGGCTACCTGCGGCGCCGCGTGCAGTACGTTTTGAAACTGACGCACGACTTGCTGCACGACGAGAGCCCGGTGCCCCGCGAGGCGGCAGCGTTTGCCCTCACATACTTCTGTCTACACCTGCAGCCGGAGATCCTTACGCACCACCAGCAACTGTTCCCCATGCTTGTGCCGCTGCTTCGCGACGATGTTGACGGCGTCCGCCGCCGTGTGGCGGGCGCGCTCGACACGTTGTGCGAGAACGTTGCTGAGGACGTGGAGCCGTATGTGCCGCTGGTGCTGCCGGCCGTGCTGGAGGCGATTGGCCGCAGCTCGCTCGACACTCAGAAGGAGCTCTGCGGCGTCATCTCGTCATTGGCCACCACCCGCTGCCCATCATTTCAAGCACATGCGACGCACTGCCTCGAGCTTCTCAAGACACCGCTCACAATGACGTCGCCCGAGACGATTCTGCTGCGCGCCAAGGCGACAGAGGCGGTTGGCATCGTCGCAAACGCCATTGGGAAGGAGGCGTTCCTGCCGTACCTGCCCTTCTTCATGGAGCGCGTTGTCGACAACCTCCGTACACGCCAGGCCGATCTTCGGGAGCAGAGCTTCGGCTTTCTCTCGAACCTCTGTGAGACGCTGCGCGGTGACTTTGCCCCCTACCTCGATGACTCTATCGCTTGTGCACTGCAAACAGTCCACGAGGACCGTACACACTACGAGAACAAGCACCTACTGGCTGAAGGAGGTATGCGAGGTTTTGACATTGCTGACGATGACGACGACAATCACAGCAATGGAAGTAACAAGGAGGATGAGGAAAGCGAGGCGGAGGAGATTCACGCGCGTGTGCGAACGGCAGACGTTGAGGAGAAGAGCAGCGCCATCTACTGCATTGGTGTTTGTGCGGAAGTGCTTTTAGCTGAATTTGGGACCGCTCGAATCGATACATGCTGGGCGGCGCTTACCGAGCTTAACACGCACTTTCACAGCAGTATCCGCTGCAGCACACTCACGGCCCTCGCGAAGTTGACGATGGCGGCGCACGGCTCTACAGCGGTGGTGAAGTCGACGTCGCAGGACACACTCACACCATACGCTCGTCGGCTGCTGAACACCTTGACCAATGATATGTTGCTCCCGTGCATGCAGGAGGACTCGGACAAGGAGGTTGTTGCTGCGGCTTGTGACGCCTATGAGCTACTGTTCAACTTCTTTGGTCCACAGGTAGTTACTGAGAACGTTGACGTGTTTGTGGAAACTGCGAAGGCTATGCTTCAGCAAAGCTTGCCCTGCCAACGTGAAGCCGAGGATGATGATGAGGACGAGGAGGATGATACCACAGGTGGCCGTGCTAATGCTGCTTCTGGTGGAGAGGTGGTACTTGGCGAGGATCACGATGGGGTGTTGATGGACGCGGCTTGCGACATGGTGGAGGCATTCGCAAAGGCCTACGGCCCATCGTTCAGGGCATACAGCGACACGATTCTGCCGCTACTGCTGCCGTACGCCGCGGACGACCGTCCATCGGAGGATGTTGTCATGGCGACGGGTTGCATCGCAACGATCATGGAGGCACTTGGTCCGTCTTCGGATGTGTACCTTGAACACTCTATCCGCCTCGCTCTGCATCTCATTGAGTCGACAGATGAATCCTCTGTGAAGGCGAACTGTGCGTACCTCCTTCGCACATTCGTGGAGAGTTGCGCGGGACATCTCGACAGTGAGGCCGCCACAGGGCCGCTGCTGCATGCACTCTGGGGAATCGCCAGCAGCAGCGACGAGATACCGGCTGCCGTTGACAATGCCGTGTCAGCTACCTGTTCGATGGTTCGGTGTCTCTCGCCCTCCGTCGTGCCCCTTCCGTCTGTTGTGCCGGCGCTGCTGACGAGAATACCGATGCGGGTGGATCGCACGGAGAACGCCAATGCCATTCGAACCCTCATACATCTCTTGACAACTCAGAGTGACTTCACCCAATCGAACTGTGGAGTGGATGCGGTGCGCTGCGTCGCAGTTGTGCTCGCGTCGCTGACGGTAGACGAGGAGCAGAAGCAGCTGCTTGCTGCGCAGGGCGTCGCCCCATTCCTCGAGCGCTACAGAAACCAATGGAGGGACGCGTGTGCGCAGCTGCCCACCGAGCTGCAGGCTGCACTGGACCGATATGGCTGCTGCTGAATGAATGGGCTCACTGTCCATGCGTGTAGCGACGGTGGTGGTGGTGGCGGTGTTGAGGCATCAATCCGTGTAGAAGATACAAGCACGAATAAAGAAAAATACATTTCTTAAGTGGAAAGAAAATAACTCGCACATACCAGAACCACAATTCAAAGTGAAGAAGAGAGCGGAGTAGAGCGTTGTATTGTGGAATTGTGAGCACTTGCCTGATGTTGGTTGTTTTCTTTTCGAATCTTCCAGCTCTGGACGTAAAAGAAGAGAAAACAAAAAGACTTTTCTATTGATTCTTTCTTCCTTCACTCTGGAGCAGCGGCAATGTGGGCGCACATCAATCGGTGCACGGAGTGTCAAACTGTCACAATGCGGGGCGGCTGCCCGAAGTGCGGCGCCACCACCGCGCCGTACGCCTTGCCTGCCACCCCCGACGACAATGGCGCCGAGGCGGCACAGACGCCCGAGCAGTTACGCCGTAGTGACGGGGGCAGGCAGCACGTGGAGGAGTTCACGCCACGTCCTGGATATGGCGATCACAATACCAGCAACAACAACGGTGGACGTTTGCGTGTATCGAGTGACTCGGTGTCACCCCACCGGAGTCTTGATAGCCGCCTGGCGCTTGCCGAGTCGAAGTACTGCTTCTATTGCGATCAGCTTGAAAGAGTCAGCGCGGAGAGGGACCAGCTGCAGTTACAGGTGCGAACAATGGAAGAGCATCGTATGCAGGGAACAAGCAAAATAAAAGAGCTTATCGAAGAAAATAAACAGCTTCGAGCCACCCTTGAGGATACGGAAGTGCGTTTGGGCATTGCAGAAATAGAGCAACAGTCACTGCTGGCGGAGGTGCACCGCCTTCGGGAGCATCTCGATGTGTCGCTGCGTGAGTTAGAGGGTGATAGACAGAACCCAAGGTGTGTGAACCTGTCGACAAGCGATGTTGGGTCGCCGGGCTCTGCTGCCGGTGGTTTCTTTGGTGATGACGGAACGCCACTGCGGTTTAGCAACACGGGAAAGCCGCCCCGCGCTTCAGTGCTGCCGGGCGCGTTTGGCGCTTTTCTGCGAAGTGCTGCACTGACAGCGGAGGCCGCGGGGCCACCACCGACGTGCGACGGGAGAGCGTGGGGGAGCTCCGCCAACAGCAGCAGTGGCTGTGGTAGCGAGCATGACTCATCAGCGGCCAACAGACGGTTAGAGGCTCGTTGTCGTGTACTGGAGAATCAAGTGCAACGTCTCCGCGAGAGGCTCGTGTCTAGGGGCTGCACAACTTTTGTTGATGCCGATGAGGAGAAATCGTCCTCGTGAAAGACTATGCCTTTTTGTGTGTCTGTGTGTCTGTACCACTACCCCTTTGTTTCCCCTCTGCACATTCGTGCGTCGTTGCTTTGCAGTGTCTGCCGTATCTACAACGCGTGGCCTTCGGTTTTCTCAGCGGGGGCGGGGGTGCCCGGTGTTACCCGAGTTCTTTTGTTTTTCCTCCTCTCTGCCCATCTTCCGTTCTTGGAGGGTGTGAAAACCACGAGGGCTCGGCCTTCGTTTCTAGGCTTCTTGGCTGACGCCTCTTCATCCGCTTTTATCGACAACAACCCAACTGTATTTGCTTCTCTCATCACGCCAGCCGCAGCGAGATGAGCAACGTTTCGCAGTGCACGGCATGCGGGACGCTCACGATGCTATCGTACTGCCCCAAGTGTGACGCCCCGACGCACCTCTACGCCCCGCAACTGCGCCATCAGCCCTCGCAGCCACTGCTGCAGCAACAGCAGCGGCACCCGCAGTCATTTCCAATACTTCATTGCGACCCGCCGCAGAAGTCACACGTCAACATGTCGCCGAACCACTCAAGCATGTGCGGTGGCCGCTCTCCGTCACGCATCCTCCACCGCTCTGACGTGATGGAGGAAGACACGTCGAAGAAAGCACTAACACTGGACGAGCTCGAGAGCCTCTACCGGGCAAACCAGCGCCGCCGCGAGGAGGGGGTGGTGTCGTATGCGCTACAGGAGGAGATGAACGCCATCAAGAGGGAGCGCGACGCAGCTGCTGCTGAGCGTGACGACATGGAGAGGCGCCTTGCGAAGCTTCACCACCAGCTCGAGGTGGAGCGGCAGCAGATGATGCAGTCCGCGAGCGATATCCGCGACCTGCACGAGAGTACGGAGCAGGTGCGAAGAAGCGATCAGGAGCATCTCCAGAGCCTCCGCGATGAGAACAGCACGTTGCGGAAGGAAAACGAAATGCTAGTGGACGCCCTCAAGGAGGCACAGGGCGAGGCAATTGCCTCCAAGCATCAGGAGCGCATCATGCAGGAGGCCCTCAACAACGCGAAGATGGCTGCCACAGTGAACGACGAGGAGTTGTCGCACCTTCACGAACAGATCGACGACCTCCAGCAGCTCCTCCAGCTGGCAAAACGGGCTAAGGAAAAGGTGGAGGATGACGCTGCGGCGATCGAAGAGACCCTCAAAAAAATAGAAGACGACAACGAAAAGTTATTGCGCCAAAACATGCAACAAGCAGAGGAGACTCAGTACCAAATGCAGCACTCTGCAGAACTCCAACAAAGCATAAATGAGATGCTGGAAAACGAAAGTTCAGCACAAAAACAAAGTGACGCCATGCAAGGGGAAATCCAAAAACTCGGCAAGGACGTTGAGCAGCTGAGGGCTGAAAACCAAACGCTCAGCACGGAGGCCGAGAAGCTGAAGGAGGCGAACGCGTGCCTCAGCGCTGAGAATGAGCGTCTCGGCGGTGACGTCGATCACCTCGGCAAGGACGTTGAGCAGCTGCGGGCTGAAAATCAAACGCTCAGCACGGAGGCTGAGAAGCTGAAGGAGGCAAACGCGTGCCTCAGCGCTGAGAATGAGCGTCTCGGCGGTGACGTCAATCACCTCGGGAAGGACGTTGAGCAGCTGAGGGCTGAAAAAAAAGAGCTTTGCGAGGTTGACAACGATCTTAGGAGAGGAAACAGTAATCTGAGGTCGGTTGTGGAGGAGCTGAGTGCAGTGAATAGCCACCTAAAAGATGAGAACGGGGATCTTGTTCTGCGTATGGAGCGTCTTCAGGGTGAGAATATGTCCCTGGTGAGTGCGAAAGAACAACTTGAGGAGAGCAAAGCTGCCGCTTTAGATGATATTAAAAAACTGTGTGCAGAGAATGAGAAACAGCGTGAAGAATTAATCGAGGCTAGTAGCACACTAAGTGATTTGCAAGTGTCTCTGACCTCCCTTCAGATGAGAGAAGAACATAATTTGGCTGCGCTCAGAGGAAGGAATGCTGTTTTGGAGGCGGAGGTCAGTGAATTAAAAATGATTATTGGGGAAGCACGCCGCGCTGTCAACTTGGAGAAAAAGCGTGTGCTGGATGCTGTTGTGGATGCCTCGAAGGAGCGTGAACGATCGGCGGAACTTGGCGTGCTGTGTGATAAGCTGAGCAGCGAGAACCGCGCTGCGGATGGCGAGATTGGGCGGTTGCTACGGGTGGTAGACGAGTATGAGACGAGGCTACTTGTTGTTGGAGGCCACTCGCGTGGCGGCGGCAAGGGCGTGGAGCGGGAGGGCTACGCTGTATACCCCGTTGCCAAAAATGGGCGGGTGTCCGTTAACGAGAGCGGCGTACCGCTTGGCGTCTACCGTGACTGAGGGAACCATCATCGTTTTTCAAGACGAAAGTAACCGCCCTTCCCTTTTTCCATATATATATATATATATATATTTATGTCTTTGTTTTGAAGTCAGTGTGTTTGTGTGCCATGCTTCTTTTTTTCTTGTGGGCAGCTCCAGTGCTGCTGTTCTTCACTCGAGTTTGGTTTATACTGCCATACTGGCGGCGACGCATAGCGCCTCACAGGTACAGGTGCACGTGCTAGGCGGCAGTTCTTTTCTCTGTCTCTCTCACGCACTCGCTGTGGGGCTCTTGCTTCTCTGGTCTGTTGGTGTCATTCTGCCTTCATTGCGCAATTTAGTTTTCCGTTCATTTGTTTGAGTAGAAGACACACAGCTGTGAAGGCTCAACCGTGAAGGGGAATGGAGAAAAAGTCACATGTCCTGTGCTCTAGATTGGAGCGGGCGATTACCTCCTTCCTGTACAACGGGCCCACCGGTCGATCGCGGGCGCTGGCGATGGGGCTGCAGGTCCCACTTTGGTTTTGGACGCATCAGATCACCACAGAGACTGAGCGTGAGACCCGTGAAACGCAGAAAGTGGTCAATCTCATACGCTGGTTTCACGAAAATGGCGCGGACTTGACACAAGTGGCGGTCATTGTTCCTGGCGAGGCGAAAGTCAGGCTGCGGGACCAGCTGGCGGCCGCTTTGCAGAGCGCCAGGGATGATGCGCAGGGTGGCGCGCTGGAGGAACTTGGACTACCAACAGTCCTGGGGCCACATGAAGTGACTGCAATGAATGCACGGGATCATGTTGTGCACCAGTACGAGGTGGTCCTCTACCTCCTCGCCCTCCCGCCCAGCAGCCGTTACTTGCCCGCAGTAATGCAGCAGGATCAATTTATTGGAGATGCAATTGCCAGTGCAAAAGGCGCCTTCATTCTAATTGCAGATGCTGGATGGACTTCCCCCCACCTCACTGTCCACTGGCCGCAGTGGAAAACATTTGTGATGAAACTTGAAGAGGAGGCACCATCTATTTCATTCGATGAGACAATGAAATTTCCAAGTGATGCGAAATTTCCGTCGCTGGTGGGTCACCGCATTCCTTTGTGCTGCCCGAAGCACGTGGACCAGCGGCAACTGGAGCATGGCATTACACCTTTTTTTCGGACATGCAAGCGACTGTGTCTGCAGCCATTTACGTGTCAGAGGGAAGGGCACGTATGTATGGGACCGTGCCACCCACGGGTGTCGCATGTGAGCTGCCCGTATTCTTGTCAAACACATATGCCGTGCGGCCACGAGTGCCTACAGAGCTGTTCGGACCGGTGCAACTGTTTCGAAGTCGTTGAGCACCCCTTGCGGTGCTCTCATGCAACCGTCATCGGCATAGATCAAGCCACCATGCAGCCCATATATGCAACCGTTCGGCATGTTTTTAAGGGGTACTGTGCAGACGTGGATATTCCATGTGCAGTGGAGTTTGTCACGGAGTGCGCGCGGTGCCTGGGCCCTTTGACAACGACATGCTCGGAGGCCACCCATCAGAATCATACACTGGAGCACAAGACGATGCTTTGTCCAAGCTGCATTCGCCTGGAACGCGAGGTTCGGGCGAAGGTGCTGGGTGAGATTCTTGTCCAAGCCGAGGAGGCGAAGCGGCGGATGAAGGTGGAGGTGCAGCGGAGTTTGCACCACCAACGGAAGGCGTCTTCACAAGGTCTGTTTCAAGAGGGCAGCCGAGTCACGATCTGCGATATTTCAAAGGTTGTCAAACCGCTCTGCGCAGATGCGGACTTCCCTGGTGTGAAGTTTGTCGATTATGACGCGCCGGATTCCCTTGCCGCCATGGACGGTGCGTACGGGACATTTGTCAGTCGCCACGTCGACATTGACGACCTCAGCGAGGTGCGCAACCTCATCCGCCTGCGCGACGGCCAGCATGTGCTGGTGGCTGATGGAGGGGTGCGTCTGATACGCGCGCTTACGACCACCATCACGCAGCAGGCCCCCACGCTTCTTCTTACGTACAAGAATAGCGGAGGTGGCGGTAACGGGCAGTCGTCGTCGGCAGACGGCACAGCCTTCGCCAAAGCAATTAAAATGATTGGGCGCTGCTACTACCTCGCGCTCCCTGTGCCGTTCGGTGACACCACAATCTCCGACAAAATTGTGCATGTGACGGCAGTTGACCCCGCTTCACCGGAGAGCGTCTGTGTGGAGTGCCGTCTCACGTCCGTCATTTCTCATACCGATGAGGGTCATGACATGAAGAACGCGATCAAAAAGGCCCGTCTTGAAGATGTAGGACATCAACAACAATGTCAACACCAACTTCGTGTTTCGGTAGAGACGGTGAAACTTACCGTTCCAGTAGCTGCGTTGGAGCCTATGGAGGGATACGCGGTAGGGAAGGAGGTGCTGGTGTTGGAGCCTGCGCGCCAAGTTAAGAATCCCCACGACGTGGAGGCCTTCGAGGCGGTGCTTGCTCAGACGCCCGGGTTGGATCTAAAAGGCTCGGTGATTTCGACAGTGCCGGTAGGCAGGGACACGCCGTTCATCCTGCTGGGCGTTGTGAACCCCCCGTCGAACCTTGAAAAGGCATACGGCCCGTGCGCTGTGCTCCGGCGGCACGTGCGGCTCGTGACGGTGCGGTCGGGACGTCGTTGCAAAGGTGCCAACAACCACACCCCCGCTGTGCAGTATGTGTCGAACAACAATACAGAGGACGGCGTGGTGGTACTCGTCCCGTTTGTTTTTACCGCGGCCGATGAGCTTCTGGAGGCGGAAAACTCGCTTGACGCAGCGGCACTGGAGAAGTTTGAGCAGCGTGTGCGGGACACCATCGCCGAGCGGAGCGAGGAGCTGGCGATCCGACACGACGAGGAGGCCTTCCACCAGCAGCGACAGATGGCGGAGGTAACGGAGGAAGTAGTCTCACAGGACCGCGTGGCGTACAGCAGCCCAATCTCGCTTCCCACACCAGGGTATCTGGCATGTGTTCGTACGAGGCATGCACGATTGCTCTGCGCATCGGCCACATCGCTGCGCTTGGCTAAGCAAAAGGATTTACTCCTGTCAAAGCAGCAACAGTTGGGTCTCGTAAAATGGGTTGAAGCAATGCTCCTACACCATACCCAGGATGCGGAGGCAAATATGGCCTACTTTAAGGGCTTACAACTAAAGGCTGCTGCTTCCAAATAGCGGGTTAGTTCTCGCCACCGCTGCAGTGAAAGGATAAGATGGAGAAAGAGGAGAGATGACTTGCTGGACCGTACGCTGGGGCTTGTTCTGACGTGTAAGTGCCTTCACCTGTTTCGCGGTATAGTTTCCACTTAAATTATCTCGTGCTACTTTGCTTTTTTTTTTTTATTGCTTGGCTCTCTATTTGTTTTTCTCTCACTCTAACTTTTGTTGTTACTATTGTTGCTGTTGTTCTCGTGGTGGGGGTGGTCCGTGGGGCACCCTCGTTNAAAAAAAAAAACATGCAGCCACGCGAGCAGGAGCTGTAGGCGCAAAAAAGTGTATCGTGATACCCGCAGCATCTGTAGTGGCAGTGCCAGTGGAAGACGGCATGCCAGACTTGGACCACCGAGCCATGAAAGACCATCCCGGCGGGACGCGGCGCAGCGGAGTCCCCCGCACGTCTGGACTTCCACCACACGCACAGCAGCAGCAGAAGATTTTCCGGCAAATCGACGTCAGTGAGATACTGACGGAGGAGCAGATTCAGTGCGAGAAGCGCCGAGAGGCTGCGGCCATTGAAGCCGGTGTTGCCGAAATAAAAGAGGCCACAGACGAGTTTGCAGCGCTGCTGGAGCACCAGCAAGTGGGTCTCGACGGACTCGCAACGAACGTCAATGCAGCGGCACAGAGTGTCGGCGCTGGCAGGGAGCAGCTGGAGACCGCCAGTCGCCGCCAGAGTTGCTGCAGAGGAACGTTGTGCCTCATGCTGTTAATTCTGGGCGGTGTTGTTGCCGCAGTTGCTCTTGTAGTGTTTATTGTGAAGCGGTAAGGTTGTATAGATTTTTAGTGTGTCGTTTATTTTAGTGGCTTTTCCCCCCTCCCGATGTCCCGTTCGTTGCTCGATGTTGACGTTAATGTGTGAGGCATTCCTCCTTGCCTGCCGTGGCGGGTGTGCATCCTCCTGTCTCTCATGCATGTGTCTTTGCGCTCGCGTGTCTCGTCTTGGTTGTGGCATCCACGGGTCGGCAGACTAGATTCAGTGCGACACCCACGGGGGCGGCCAGAAGAAAAAAAAAGAATAGTTCAACAAAGCAACAGGAAGAGAAGGAGGACATACCAGAAGAAGGGATCTGATACACCTAACGTACAGGAGATAACAGATAGACTTGTGTAAGACAAGACAAAGTGGTCAAGGAACGAAACATAAGAATCTGTACACGTGTTACGATATAAACACAAAAGGACAGCGCAGTACTGCAACCTACATTCAATTTTACAAGTGATAATAAGCAATGGAGCGTGTGGTGGTGAGGCAACAGGTGTATTACCAGCACCATCAGAAGGGATGGCTGCGCGGTGTTGTCACCGGCGTGCTCGAGAACGAGAAGAAGGCGCAGGTGGAGGACGCGGAGACCGGGCACAAGGAGACGGTGCCGCTAACGCACGTGCACGGCTACATGGAGCAGGGCTTTGACGCGGAAGACCCCGACCTGTTCCACCTGAGCGACCTGCACGTGGCCACCACGCTGTACTGCATCAAACAGCGCTTCGAACAGCTGAAGCAGCAGTACTCGCTCATGGGCGAGATGGTGCTCAGCGTTAACCCGTTCCAGCTCATGGAGTTCAACTCCGACAAACACCGGGAGAAGTACCTTAACTCGATGGAGACACAACTGCTGCCGCCGCACATTTGGCAGGTCACACATAAGGCCTACACGCAGATCGTCGTGCGTGGGCTTGGCAACCAGTCCGTCGTCATCTCTGGCGAGTCCGGCAGTGGCAAGACGGAAAACGCCAAGATGCTCATCGCGTACCTCGGCCAGTTGAGCTACATGCACAGCAGCAACACTGTGCAGAGGAGCATCGCCGACAAGGTGGCGGAGAGTTTGAAGTGGAGCAACCCAGTGCTAGAGTCTTTTGGTAATGCCCGCACTGTGCGCAATGACAACTCCTCTCGCTTTGGTAAATACATCAAACTCTACTTTGACACCAGCTCCGGCGTAATGGTGGGCGGCGAGACGGTCACATACCTGCTGGAGAAGAGCCGTCTCCTGCTGCAGTCCGCTGGAGAACGCAATTACCACATCTTCTACGAGATGCTCGCGGGACTCACACCTGCGGAGAAAAAGGAGCTTGGTGGCCTCAAGACCGCCCGTGACTACAAGTGCCTCAGCGGGGGCAACACATTCGACCGTCGCGGCATTGACGGTAGGCCGATGGATGACGCAAGGGAGTTCCAAAACGTGCGTCGCGCCCTCACTGCCATTGAGATCCCTGCGAGCGTGCAGAAGAGCATTTTTAAGGTCCTGGCGAGCATCCTCCACTTGCTTGAGCTCCGCTTTGAGTCGGACCAGAATGACAAGGCGCAAATCGTCGATGATGAACCGTTCCGCATCGCGTGCGACCTGTTGCAGGTGGACCCCGAGCTGCTCAAGGAGTGCTTCCTGGTGAAGAGCCACACCAGCCTCGTGACAATCCTCGCCAACAAAACAGAGGCTGAGGGTCTGCGCGGCGCCTTCTGCAAGGCCATCTACGTTGGTGTATTTGACCGCCTCGTTGAGTTCGTGAACAAATCCATCGACCCGCAGGGCGACGTGACGGAGTGCAAGTATATTGGCCTCCTCGATATATTCGGCTTTGAAAACTTCACACGCAACAGTTTTGAGCAGATCTGCATCAACTATGCGAACGAAGCCTTACAGAATCACTACAACAAATACACCTTCGTCAATGACGAGGCGGAATGTCTCAGTGAAGGCATAGAAATCCCCAAGATTGTCTTCCCTGACAACTCCGAATGCGTCAAGATGTTCGACCAGAAGAAAACGGGCATCTTCTCAATGCTCGATGAGGAGTGCCACTTCAAGGGAGGCTCGGTGGAGCGCTTCACCCACAACCTCTGGGAACAGTGGGCGAATAAAAACGAATACTTTGTGCAGCCCAAGAGTACTGTGCCTAATCAATTTGGTGTTAACCACTATGCCGCATTTGTGAACTACAACACGGAGGAGTGGCTGGAGAAGAACACTGACAGTATAAAGGAAGAGGCGTACCAGTGTGTTCGCAAGTCCGCTGATCCGTTTATCCAAACCCTACTGACAGAAGATGCGGTGGCCAACAGGCGCAAGCAGACGGTGGCGCTCCACTTTCAAGAGCAGTTGGTGGTGCTGCGGGCGGAACTGGAGTCGACAGAGACGCAATTCATCCGTTGTATCAAGCCCAACATGGAGGCTAGCCCGGACGCGCTTGACAATTGCCTTGTTGGCAGCCAACTGGAGTCAGCGGGCGTGCTGCAGACCATCGCACTAAAGCGGCAGGGGTACCCGGTGCGTCGTCTTATTGAATATTTCTGCCACTACTTCTACCTCATCTCGATGCGGTCGACGGTAAAGCTGTACAAGGAGAAAAACTATCGGGCCGCTGCGGAGGACCTTCTCGCCACTTACCAGCGGTTGTACAATTGGAAGAAGCCCAACTACGCTATCGGTCACACAAAGGTCTTCGTCCGCGCGGAGGTTTGGTCCTCACTCGAGCGGCTTCTGCTGCGCCGCAAGGGCTGGCTCATGCGACGCTGCGTGCCGTTTCTGATCCGCTGGATTTATACCTACCGGGAAGAGAAGCGCATCGCCGAGGAGCGGCGCAAGGAGGAGCTTCGCCTTGCCAAGGAGGAGCGCGAGCGCAAGATGGCCGAAATTGCGGAGAAAGGCATCACCTCGGATGATATGGAGTGGGTGGAGGTTCTTGCCACACTGTTCCCGACGCTGGATATCTCCACTCTCATTGACATTGTGCTCTATCTCTCCTCGCGTGAGGACTCCCTCGCCGCGGTGACGGAGATACAGAAACAGCGTCTTGACGGAACGCTTCCATCCACCTTCTTGCGCGTGATGGCGGAGGCGGAAGTGGGGCCATCGGTGGTGGAATGTCTTCTCAGTAACGATATCACCACAATGGAGCGGCTCTCGCAGTGCAGCCAGGCGGAGCTGAGGCAACACGGCATGTCCGACGCGGAGGTGGCGGCGGTGACACGCAAGATGCTGAAGGAGCAGTCGAACCGCGTCAAGCTGGAGCGGCTGCAGAGCACTATCGGGACGCTGAAGCTGGGCGCCGCCCTTGATGAGGCGAGGCGCCGTGCCGCTACGCAGAGTGACTTCACTGCAAAGGTGTACACGCTGCTCGGGATGGGCTTCCCGCGCGTCCAGGCGGAGCTCGTGCTGACACACTACAGCGGCGACGTGCAGAAGGCGGCTGCCCGCCTGCTTCACGGCGGCGTGTCAAAGCACGTCGGAGTGAAGCCACCTCAGGGGAAGGACGGTAGGTGGACGTCGCTCGACCACGAGGTGCAGCAGCTCGTAAAGCTCGGCGTGACGAAAGAAAACGCGAAGCGGGCGCTCCGCCGAACGAGTGGAAACACCGACGAGGCCGTGCGGCTCATATTCCCTCCATCTTCTTAGGAACACTTTACTACCTGTTGCGCGCCACAACACGTCCGGGCGTCGTATTGAGAAGGAAAGTGCACCGTTTTGTGTGGGGATGTTGGTTTTTTTTTTGTTTTTCTTCGTTTAGTGCTTTCACCCTTCACTTCCTCTCTCTCTTTGTTTTACATTCAGCATGTTTATTTCTTTGTGTTCAGTGGTGTTGTTCTCTTCCAGACTCACAACAATAACACGGGGTAGCAGCCGATGTGAAGGCAGGAAGGACAAGCAAAAAAAAAAATGGACCCTGTGCCATTTCGTCTTCCGATAGCTTGCCACAACTAAGAAGCACTCTGCCTATCAGCAGACTTTCCAGATGTTCGGGATTTCCTCCTCACTTTTCTTACTATATATATTTATATATATGTCTGTGTGTGTCGCCGTGCGCGAGAAAAAATGCAACACAGATATGACATGTGAAGGAGATTGTGTGTAGGGAGGGCGGGAGGGGGGAGCCCGACCAAGTAGAGAGGGGGAGACTTTTTAGCGCCCCTTATTTTCTTTTGATTGTGGACGTTCTCGCCATGCCTATTGTTTTCCAATAGAGTCTTTTGTTTCGCCTCTCGCACGCGGAGTGTTTTGGTCGGTGCCGCCGAAAAATATGAAAAAGAGAACAGAGATGCCACTACGCCTCATCGTGTGCGTCTGGTCTTTTTGATGCTTTCGCTCGTGTGTTGGGAGTCACAGATTTCATTTCCGTTGTTTCTTTGCTCTTCTTTCTTCTGCCTCGTTGGCGTTTTTTTTTTTTNGTGTCGCGGGCACCCGCTTTGTTTATTTATTGCGGCAGCATTCGATGGAGGTGCTGGGGCGTACAGGATGTGGCGTGATGTCACTTGCGGCATCAGCGACGGCGCCGACTGCCTTCGCCACAGTCGACAGCACCGGCACCGTCACGCTGTGGGACACGCGGCTGAGGCGAAAAGACTACGCGACCGTGGCGGTCACCGCGCAGGGGGATGGCGCAGAGGCGACAGAGCTGCTTCTCGCATCAGACCTGCACCTGGCCGCCGTGCTGTCCGACAAGGTTGTCACCACGTACGACCTTCGCCAACTCGCGAAGGTGCAGTGTTACGAGCACCCCTGCGAAGCCGTTACGTTCCTGAGTGGTGCACACCCATCTGGCACCACATCGACGCTTTTTGCGGATGAGGACGGCGCCGTTGTCCCGTTCGACCTGAAGTTGTGTGCGCCAACAAACCACCTGTCGCAACGATACTTTGCTGTGGAGGCGGAGCTTCCAGTGCCGTCATTTGGCTCACTGCCCAACTACTGCTGCGGCCTTGGACTGCTGCAAGACGGGGATGACGGCCGGCGGCTGTGCGCCGTTGGCATGGACGGCCACGGCGCACTCTACGCGGACCCGCTGCGTCCACCTGAGCGCTTCTGCGTGATGGACGACTTGGTGTCGACGGGTGGGCAGGTGGTGAACCCGCCGCTGCCAACTGCGTGCGGTTTCTTCGAGAACCTTGTCGCCATCGGGAGGGCGAATGGCATGTATTCCATTGCCGCAGTGGATGATGCTGACGGCGTTTTTGAGGTACTCGCCGCACCAGGCCACGCGTCGAACGGCCTCTGCGTCGTGACGTGGACAGATGACCACCGTCTGGTGACCTGTTCTGTCTGCGGCGAGGTGTCCGTGTGGGATGTGTTGCCGCTGCTGCAGCAGCAGCCGCCAGAGGAGGGGGCGGAGGACGGCGATGTGCCGCCGCTTGACGTGGCGTGTAGCGTGCGTGAGGCCACCGGACATCAGTCTGTTGTGAATTGCGGGTCTGTGCTGGGCTGCGGTGTGTGCGTCGTGGGCGACACGCTGGGGTTTGTCACGTCCTGTTCACTGGGGCGGGCGTGAGGCAGATGAACACGTGTGGATCTTCACAAGTTAACGCCTCTGGTAGTGCACCGGGGAGTATCGTTTTCCCTCCTTCTACAAGGAGGCCCACGCACACACATTCACATAAACGTGCATACTCTCTTTCCCTCACTGTTGTTTTTCCTTCTAAACGCCAAAAAAAAACCTGGCCAGATACTTACACTGTCGTGGTTTAATAGCGATGCACATGCTTTATGCACTTGATTGTTTTTTTTTTGTTCACCCCTTCGCCTTTTTTTTTTCTTTCGTGGTTCTTTTGGTTTTGCGGTTCTTTCGTGTAGTTGTTACTGCTGGGGGGTGGGAGCTGCATGAGCGTGACTGAGGCGGGGGAGGACGCCGGGGCGGCCGGGGTGCCGTGCTGTGATACCGGTGATATTTTGAAGCTGGCGTACAACTTCATATTCAAATTTCAGTCCAAGAATCAGCCGTTGAAGGAGAATGAAGACACGCGTGTTGTAGGTTCGGGCAGGCATAGTGGAACCGAAACGGCGCTTTGGGTGCGTGAGGGAACAGAGAGGTTGCTTTACTTCTCGTATCGCAACCGATTCATACCCTTGGCCAACGGCGCGACAACGGACCACGGCTGGGGCTGCATGATCCGGGCAGGGCAAATGATGCTGGGCTACGCGTTGATGCGTTTCTTCAACAACGGCAACGCCCGCATAGACGGCACGAACACAGAGGAGCTGAGGGAAAAGGCGCAGGCTTTTTTTCGAGACGTGCCTCAGGCTCCGTTTGGCATCCACGCCATCACGACGGAGGGCGTGGAGCACGGCGTGGCGTGCGGCAAGTGGTTTGGGCCGACACCGCTGGCCGTCACGCTCAGCCGGCTGAGTGCGACCCACTTGGCTGCCGGCGGCACGGGGCCGGTGGTGCTCGCTGTGAGCGACCGGTTGGTCGGCGCCCAGCGTGTAGAGCAGCTGCTGCGGCAGTCGGCTCAGGTAGTGCTGCTCATCCCAGTGATGCTGGGGCTCGGCGGCGTCTCGGCAAAGTACGCGCGACTGCTGACGCGGTGCCTTGACATGGAGAGCTCTATCGGCATTCTCGGCGGGCGGCGCGCAGAGGCGTACTATCTCTACGGGCATCAGGGTGACGATGTCTTCTTCTTGGACCCACACTTCATTAAAACGGCCCCAACATCGGTGGATGACCTGAAGGCTCAGGTGGGTGTAAGGCGCATGCTGCTGGCAACTGAATTCGACACGTCGATGGCGCTCGGATTCTATATCTCCTCACTCGACAGCTTCACCACCTTCGAAGCGGAGATGAAGGAGGCGAACGCTTTTCTGACGTTTCCCCTTGTTAGCGTTATTCCAAATGATAGAGAGGCGCTTAATCCAGGGAGAAATTCTGATGAGTGTACGTTTTCAGATAACGAGTAGGAAGAAAAGCGAACCAAACAAGAGAATAAAAAAAAAAGAAAATAAAGTGCCTCACACTTCTCTGCCGTGCTGACATTGTTTTTGCTGTTGCCATCATTATAGCCGACAGGGGGATGTGCTATGCGGTAAATCAGTCCCCATCTGTTTTACAGTGAAGAAAACGGAGTATTTCCCAGTTTGTTTTTCCCTTTGTCGTATTGCGTGTGTTTCTGTACATGTGACTATTTGAGCTCCACTTCTGCGTTCTTCGCACAGACGACGTCTGCATCAACAAGAAGACTACGGCTCTTTAACTTAAACGGCTACTTTCCTTCTCGTTTTCTTCTTTTTTTGTTGTTGGTCTTCTTTCACCTAACTCGCACACTCTCACAGCGTGCTACTCCGCGAAGAAGACAAACATGGGAAAGACTGTGCTGACATGCCGTAAGGGCAACGGGTCCATCTACCAGCTGCACGGCCACAAGCGCCTCGGCCCCGCGAAGCTGCGCATTCTCGACTACGCTGAGCGCCACGGCTTCATGCGCGGCGTCGTCAAAACGATCGAGCACGAGGCTGGCCGTGGGGCGCCGCTCGCTCGCGTGGAGTTCCGCCACCCCTACAAGTACCGCCGCGTGAAGGAGCTGATGGTGGCGCCGGAAGGCATGTTCACCGGCCAGTCCGTCCTCTGCGGCGTCAAGGCGCCGCTCGCCATCGGCAACGTCCTGCCGCTCGGGCAGATCACGGAGGGCTGCATCGTCTGCAACGTGGAGGCGAAGGTCGGTGACCGCGGCACCATCGCGCGCGCATCGGGTGACTACTGCATCATCATCTCGCACAACCACGAGACGGGCCGCACGCGCCTGAAGCTTCCGAGCGGGCAGAAGAAGACGGTGCCCAGCAGCTGCCGCGCCATGATCGGCATCATTGCCGGCGGTGGCCGCATTGAGAAGCCCGTGCTGAAGGCCGGTAACTCCTTCTACCGCTTCCGCGGCAAGCGCAACTGCTGGCCCAAGGTGCGTGGTGTTGCCCGCAACCCCGTCGAGCATCCCCATGGTGGTGGTAACCATCAGCACATCGGCCACCCCTCGACCGTCTCACGCCATGCGCCGCCGGGCCAGAAGGTCGGCCTCATCGCCGCCCGCCGCACCGGTCGCATCCGCGGTAGCAGGGCCGTCAGGGGCGCGTGGCACCCGGAGGAGTAAGCCGTCTGCAGCACGCACGTTTGTTTTTATTTTCATTTAATGGACCAAAAAAATGGAAGCGATCGAGAAGAATGGCTTATGAATGGTGTGCGAAAGGTACTGCGGTCTTCCGTGCATGACAAACCGACATTCTCTTTTTCTTTTCTTCTTCTTCTGCTGCCGCTGCCGTTTCTTTAGGATTTGGCCATGTAGAGCTAGCACCTCTGGAGGCGTGGGGGATTGACGTGACGCATTGCGACAATTGACCGCAGAGGTGGCAGCTAGAGGGGTGGGCGTTGCCAGAGGAACAGTGTGGTAGAGGCGTCAGAAGCCGTCAGGTGAGTGTTTATGGCTTGCGGCTCGGAGTTTTAGGTTTTTTTTTTTTCCGTTGAGCTTCTTCTTGTACAAACACACACGCACACGTATACAAAAAACAACAACAACACAAAAGCAAATCTAATGCCTGGGGTGAAGCGGGGGATTCAGTGCCTGTTCTTGGAGGAGCGCATTGCCGCGGAAGGGTGCGTGGTGCTCCTTGTGGAGGCTTTCCGAAGTTCCTTTCACGTGATACAGCCCTTTCTTGCCACCATCGCGGAGCCGACGTCTCGGCCCTCGCTGATGCAGGAGTACCGTATGACTCCCTTCTCGCTGGGCACGACTGTCTCTGGCAGCATCCCAGCCTACGAGGTCATACAGTTTCTGGACGATTATGTCTATGGCTTTTGTGAGGAGGGGACGAGGGAGCGTCGTGCACGCGTGTCCACCTTCATCGAGACTTGCATGAGCCGCTACAATCTCGCCCGTATTGTCATTGACGATCAACGGACTTTTCTCGAGTGCGAAAACCTTGCGACCGCTGAGACGCTCCTAGGTGATGCTGTCGTGCGTTCACTATGTGCTGCACCATACGAGATCGTTACCGCCGCTGCTCGTCCTTTTGTTCTGCTGCGGAGCCGCGCTGTCGCAAGACTTGTGGCAGAACGATGTGTTCTGCTTGGTTACCCACTTCAGCAACAATACGACTACGAAAGGGATGAGGGTATCCGCAACGTCAATGTCATGCTGAAGACGCAGACAAAGCCGCGCCCGTATCAAATCGATGCGGTCAACGCCGCCGCGGCTGATGGATCTCTTCGTAGTGGCTGCATCGTCCTTCCATGTGGCGCCGGTAAGACACTTGTTGGAGTCATGCTACTATGCAAGGTGAAGAAGCCGACATTGATACTCTGCGCAGGAAGCGTGAGTGTTGAGCAGTGGAAGAATCATATATTGGAGTTTGCTAACATTTTCGCCCCTGATACAAGTGAAGAGGCCTTCACTGCTACAAGGCACAAGTCCACTCAGGAGGGTGCCGCACGCATTGCGTGTCTAACTGCGAAGCAGAAGGATGAAATCACAGATGATATCGATGTTGTTCTCACCACCTACAGCATGCTGGTGACAGCACATAAAGCCCAGATGCGGCGTCACGCGGAGCGCGCAAGTGGCGCCTCAGACGACGGGCGACAAAAGCGGCGACGTTCAAACCCGAAGGAGAAACTATTCCAACCATACGGCCTTCTTATCATGGACGAGGTCCATGTCATGCCTGCGGAGGCATACAAGGAGAGCTTGAGCCTTGTTGATGCGAGAGGTGTGGTGGGACTTACAGCAACATACGTGCGTGAAGACGCAAAGATACGAGATCTCTTTCACTTGGTGGGACCAAAGCTCTACGACATGTCGTGGGAAACATTGGCGTCTAATGGATACCTGGCGAATGTAACTTGCATCGAAGTCATGACACCATTGACGAGGCAGTTTAGCCTTGAGTACATGGAACGGAGTGGTGAGGATAAAACTTTACAGCAGCGGAAGATGCCTCTGCTGGTAATGTTGGCTGCCGCAAATCCAAACAAGATGCTTTGCGTTCTTGAGCTGGTACGAAGGCACATCAATGAGTCGTCCAAGATACTCGTTTTTTGCGACCACCTCATGCTCCTCAAGGAGTACGGGAATCTGCTTCGCGCCCCTGTGATCTGTGGGGAGACGCCCCACCGTGAACGCTTGATGATCTTCTCGGACTTTCAGAGCACCTCGAAGTTGAATGTCATTTGCTTGTCGCGTGTGGGCGACGTCAGCGTCAACCTCCCTAGCGCCAACGTTGTGATTCAGGTTTCTAGCCACGGCGGAAGCAGGCGTCAGGAGGCGCAACGCCTTGGCAGGATCTTGCGCCCAAAAGCCACAGCGAGCAACGGGAAAGCCGTCGACGCGTGGTTCTACACGGTCATCAGTACTGACACTGTGGAGATGGCCTATGCGGCACACCGCACAGCGTTCCTCGTTGATCAGGGTTACACGTGCCGCATCATGGAGTTTCGCCCCGGCGATGGGGCTGCAGGTGACACTACCGCGGCCACCACCATCGTCCCTGACGTCACGGAGGCAGGTGATGTGGTGAGCATAAAGCAAGAGAAACTCCGTAGCNTGTTCAGGCAGTCAAAGCTTCAGTGCGAGTCGCCGTCAGGCCCGCAGGGCTCCATAGACGCGGGAAGTCTCGACTATCAGCTGAATCTGCTCGCGCGCGTTGTCTCTAACTGGGAGATGGAATACCATGGGCAGATCTTGCACCGGGCAGCAGCAGGATCGAATGACACTCATCCAGATGATGCGGATGATGATGTCGTGGAGATTGCTCCAGAAAAGGACCTTGCGGCGATCAAGCGGGAGTGGGCGTCGGCGAGTGGTGTGGTTCAGCTTCAGTCGGATCATTGCTACACATCTCTCCAGAGCTTGGTCGGTGTGGATGAGAACTTTGTGTACCACGAGCTCTAGCTGTAAAGTTTGGGGAAACTACGATGCGACACAGTTTGTCGCATCCCCCTCTCAAATTTTTTGTTGCTCTTGTTGGCTCCTTTCTGGTGTATTATTGTTGTTGTATCGTTTGCTTATTTATTTTTTTATTTATTTTTTTACTTATCCTTTCTATCTCCATTGTACTTTTTTCTTCACTTTGTATACTGACAGGAATTTCAAAAGATGATGAACTGAGCTCTGTGCAATCTGGTGGTGGGGATCAAGAATTGGATCTTTGGGTTTTTCAGCAGCGAGAAGACGGAGACGCCCACGACCGACAAGGAGCCAACACCACTTTCGCAGCAGTCAACTGACACTTGTTCTACTGGGACCTGACGGCAGCGGTTCGTTCGCCCTGTTGAAGATGGGGGAACTGCAAAGGCGTCAACTGGCACTAAGACTGACTAGAGAGGCGTAGCAGTAGTAGTAGGTGCACCACTGTGATCGCACGATTTTTTTTTCATGATGGCTGCCATTGGAACCTTCGGATTTGGCAGCCTGAATTTTTTACTGCGGTCACGAGGACTGTGCTCCATATAGGATTTTTTCTCGGCCTTTTGTTCTCTTTTATGTTGGGATAGGAATTCTTCTTTTTGTTTTTCTTACAATTTCCTTCTCGATGTGGGGATTTGCCCGTTCTGTGCTGTTGCGAAATGTTGTGCGTTTGCTTCCTCGCCACACGCCTCTTCAACCTTTTGTTAGATCTCGCCAAGCAACATGGTCTGAGTGACGTGCTGGGTGGTGGTGTACGTCGTGGCCGTCATCGTAAAGTGGTTTGTCGGGTTGTTCCGCAAAGAAAAGAAGAACGATACGGTCGAAGCTGATAAGTCGCCAACACCGCTCGCTGAGGAATCGGCTGACGGATGCTCTTCTGGAACCTGACGACCGCGATTCCGTCGTGGTGGTGAAGATGGTGCTGCAGCGAAGACGCTAACCACCAGCAGCGACGAGTAGACACGCAAAGATTGTAAGAAAGTACCACTGTGAATGCGGTTGTGTATTTATATGATGGCTGCCATTGGAACCTCAGGATTTGGCAGCCGGAATTTTGCGGCGGCAGCAGAGGCTTTCCTCTTCTTGATATTTAAATTTGGTGCTTGCTAAGTTTTTGTATTCAAAACAAAAACGGCACTTTCTCTTCCTTTCATTTATTCCGTTGCATTCACTCCTATGTGCAGAGAGGAGCCTTCATTTGTTTCCTCTGTGCTATGGGGCATGCCTACCAAACTGTGACAATTGTTTGTTTTTCCTTTGCTTCTTCTTTAAACACACACACACGCATACATACTATCTCAATACCCATATGTGCATATATGTATACATGAGCAACCCCTAGACTTCACATTATCTACCTCCTTCTTAAGACGTTGTTTCTTGTGCTTGCTGCGGAGGTGTATCCGTAGTTCTGAAGCGTGAACAAGCAATGCGAGGGGCAGGTGGGTGGAAGCCCTCGACAGATGTCGTTCGCAATGCTGCATCAGCGACGACGGTATCGCTGCTATCCAGCGAGGCTAATGTAAGTAACAACGATGCCTTGCTCCTTCGGCCAACAATGTACGAGGCGAAGTATGTACAGCCAGCGCCATTGCTGAAGGGTTTTCTGTACATGCAGGACCCGAATGAACTATCCAACAAAAACGATGGCGTGGAAATAAACAAACTAACCATCTCACAATTGTACAGCAGCGTATATCTTCCCTATGTACAGAAGAAACAGCGCCAAACTGAGGTGGGATTCCCCCTTTCATCGGGGCCACCTGACTTTGACAGCGAGTCGCCGACGGATCCAGAGAATGTGATGCGGTACATTAAGGGTCTCTCTGCTGTGCACCGCAGCCGACTTGATGATCCAACGCCTTTTCTTTTGTACGAGACTCTTGTTACAGGATTTATGGAAAGTGCTGCTTCCATATCCACTCAGGCTGGTGCTGAAACAAGGGACAATTCATTGAACGGCGATCAGTCGTCGTTATTGAGTTCGCATGATGAGGACGTACCTGGATCAGTTCCAGTGCCGCGGTTTCAGTCTTCTACTCCGGAAACAGAAATGGTGACATTGACGTTGTCCATGTGGCTGTCGAACATTCGACAGTTGGAAAACCTTGGAATCACTATGCAGAAGATAGGGGAATCTCCAGCAGCCACCCGGGCTTTAACTCCATCAGTTGTGATGTCTGCACTTGAAAACTGCAGGGAATTGGTGATGGGGGACCAGTGTTCCCAGGAGCGGAAGGGCGAGTTGTGTAGCTTGATGGGGTTTGTTGTCCTCCCGAGAGGCGAGGTTCGAGAGGTGTTGGAGTATGTAGGCATGGTTGAGGAGTACAACTCCCGCACTAGATCCCGCATTGTACCCAGCGCGTTACCATACTACGAGGAAGTGCTTCGGAGTTTCAGATTGAGTTCACCGACACAGTACGTCATGTCGTCCCCTGTGGATGCGCATCACAGTGAAACCGCAAAGTTGCCCCTCATGTTGTCTGAAGGGACTAGTGTCATCTCTTTTTGTGTTTCACCATGTGGACGACTTTTGGCAGTGGCAGCTGTTTCTGGCATGTCAATTTTTGAAACCGCTACTGGAAAGCTATTGGCGAAGTCTACAGATGTGGATATGACGCGGTCTTTGTGGATTATGCAGTTTTCTAGTGACTCTACGAGGCTTATTCTCACCACACAAACGGGATTGCGTCATGTGCTTTTAAATACCTCACTAGGGTACGTTGGTGAACACAACACAGACTACCCAGCTATACCTACCAAAGTTACAGAAGAGTCTATTGATTTTCTCTTTTCTCCACGGCTCACCAGTGGCCGAAAGAGTTCTTTATACCTCGTGGCCTCTGGAAAAATAGTTTTGGACCAGCTTGGCTACTCCTCGGATAAGGCCATTGATGGTTTTGTTATCTGTGCGCACCTCCACAGCGACTTTGTGGGGGATCTGGTAGTTCTGGAAGCCTCTGACGATGTTTTTACCCTCCATGTGGAGAGAAGAGTGGTTACGCTATCGCAAGGATCCTACAGCTGTTGTGGCGTGGTCCCTAACAATGCCCCTTGGCACTTTATTTACTGCAAGTGGAGCAAGGGTGCTTGGACACTCGGCATAGACAGTACATTGGTGGAATTGCGCGGCGCCCGCACCAGTCAGCCAAAGATGACGAAAGTCATCGGAGCAACGATCCTTGATGGCACTGGTCATGTGGCTTCACTTGTGGCATGGATCAGTGATAGTTGCGATACCCGGTTGATTAGGCGTTTTTCAACGGAGAGAAAGCTGGACGTTGCAGCAAAGCCCTTATTCCACCTTCCGTTGGATGAAAGCGAGGGACTCTGGATAAAGGAGCTGGCTGCGATGCGAGCCCTCACTATTCCAGAGCAAAACGTTCTCTGGGATGATACCGTACGTTGCCCCTGTACACCTTCAGAATCTTACGATCACAATGTCCGACTTCCACATCAACTGTTGCTACAAGCAGATATTATGATCAGTGACTACCAGGTGCTTATTGTGCTTCCATCGGTCCATAAAGGTGGTGACGGAATTGTCATTGGAGTCCAACAAGGGGCAAACTCCATTGGTCGTGTGTACCGGTGTCCTGGAAGCTATTCGCAGACACTTTACTTCCTCTCTCGTGACGAGTCCTCTCTATACGCGATTCAGCAGCGTTTCTCGACGCTCTCTGTGACCACTATCTCTACAGTTTCGAGAAGGGATCACACACTACAAGAGAGCGGTATTGTACGCAACGATATTCCGCGAGGCTCACCAGAATGGCTATGCAACGAGATTTTAAAACGAATATGCATTGAAGGCATTGATTTGCTCCGGATCCCACCTGAGATGAGTCCGTTACGAACCGAAAACCTTTGGCATCTCTCTGCCATTTTGCATGGTGCTAAACGGACATCTAACCGTCTTAAGTTGGTGGCGGTTATGACGCTGGCAATGGTGCACTTTGAGCGCCTGCTGTCGGAAAATGTGGAACCGCTTTCGCATATTTCTGCCTCACTTAGCCGTTCATGCAAGCAGATAATAGAGTGGTTCCCTGAAGGTTTTATTCGCGATGTGGCCGCAGCTTTGGTCAGGACGGGTGCAAGTCAATCGCTTACATTGTCTGATAAAGTCGATATTCTCATACACGCAGATGAATCTAAAGCAGCGGACCTCTTGGACGTCTGCATGTGCAAGGAATCTTTATACAGTATACTTTCATTTGTCGTCAATGATAACCCGGCTAAAATTATACTTATTGCGAGTGGCCTCCTCCGTCGCTGTAGGCTGGAGGAGGATGGTACTTCATTGGGCCGTGGAGTGGTGCATAAAATGCTGTGGTTTTCGATCATTTCGGTACAAGTCTTGCATGCCCACGGACAGGACAGTCTTGTTGCAAGTTTGCTTGAACTTTTTGAGCAACACTCGAGACGCCTCCTCGTGAAGCGATCATGGGATGACAGTGTGCAGCAAACCGTAGTTCACACAGGTTTTCTGCCGATGCTCATTGCTGTTGCTAGGTTGTGCCCGGACGCCGTCACATCGGGTGTGGAGAAGGCACTGCTAAGTCTCCTTGACACAGCACCTCCATGTGAAAGCGAGACTCCGTTTTTAGTCAGTTTCGAAACGAAAGAGGCGTGCGATGTTGTGCCCTCCGCGGATGATGCCGCCTTTAGATTTTTTCTTGACTATAAGAAGGCGACATCCGTGGCCATCACGAAGGAAGTGTCGTCATCGGAGGTGATCGTTATAGTTTCTGAGCCTACATCTGTGAAGCCGTCCAAAGTTGTTTTGAGTGACGTGACGCAATTTGTGAAGGTAGGTGGATCGACATTGTTAGTGTTTGGGGAAGGTGAGATTTCACTTACCATTCTCTGCGTCTACAACCTATCTGTTGGAACCCCGTGGAGCTGTATTATGCGTGATGGAATCTTGTATCTTCTAGTGGCTGCAGCGCGGTACTTAACCGTGACGCCGAAGCCATGTGATGTGTTTCTTGCACCTTTGCTGAGACATGGACTGAACACAAGGATCTTGGCAACACGCGGGTTGGATGTTCCTGGTCGGGTAAATGAATCGAGATATGCAGTTGAAATTCTAAACAATGAGAGCGATGGAAAGGTGCTTGTCGATGAGGTTTGGAAAAATATGAGGGGTTGTGTGACTTTACCGATGCGACCTGCTATTCAGGCACTTCTTTCCTTACTCATACACAGTGGCTTGACACCACAACAGGCGGAGGATGAGCTGAAACTACGATGGTTTAGTGGTGAGTGGGGAAGCAAATTACAGGGAGCTGGTAAAGATGCTGCTCGTCAGTCCTTGGTTGACCTTGCAAAGTGGATTACTTCATCGGTGTTTCACCAATGTGGTGCCCCTTCGCTTTACACACGCCGAGCTTCGAATGGACGGCGGCAGACGGTTGAATGTTCACTGGGAAAGTCACGTTCGACATCTGATCTGCAGGCCAGCACAAGTGCCAGACGAAGTACAGTTAAAGGAACACTGCAGAGCCAGGATACATTGGATCAGGTGAGGGCTCTATTTACCAAGGGTATCACCCCTGGTGAACTAGAGAGCATCTTGGTGGAGCGGACCGCTTCTGCACTGAATACAGCTCGTGGTCTTCAACTTCTTTCTTCCCTATTGACAAAGATCACGAAGCAGGAAACTGGAACGCTCCATGGGATTCTTGAGGTTCTGTGGCTTCTCTGTGGGGAAGGAAGTGGGAAACATGTGGTCGAGAGTCTTGTAGGATCCGGCTTGGAGTTGGAAATGTGTGTACGTGTGGCCTTTCATTCCGTTCTGGAGAAGTGTGAGAGTTTTTTAATAACTGGTTGCCCCAAGGATATGTCTTCACAGACGGTCTTGACATCACCAGCGCACAACGGGGCCTTGACTGTCTTCCTCCTTGCCATTATGTGTCATCCGTGGGACGCCGTAGACTGTGAGCTCTTTACGCGCAGCGGGAGTGAGGGTGGGCTGACAAGTATTTTGGCACATCTTGAGGAACAGATGAGCATGCCGACGTACGAAGTTCCACTGACGAGTCCGTGGCGTCTCCGACGCGATCAAAAAGATGGGACAAGTCCGACGAAGGAACAAGCTGCTTGGAGTGAGCTGATCGGTATTGTGGAGCACGCTTCTATAAACTGCATTTTACCGAATGGTTTCTCTGTCGCTATTCCCGACTTACAGATGTCGGTTTCGGCAGAAGGTATCACCTTTGAAAAGATCATGTCAAGCTCGTTGATTTTGCGCGCGGACGAAGGGTGGCCCATGTCGCGTCTCCCACCATGTTTCAGCGGTGTCCCGCGCGTTTTCTACTATGAAGTGACCATGACATCACCGTGTTACCGGCTCGCACTCTGCTTGGGCCACTGCCGTGGTGACCTTGACCGCAGTGTCGAGGTAGCATACTTCTATGAGAACTCCGGTGCAACACACGACGTTTCTTGTCTTCCGTTTGGAGAGGGCGACACAATTGGCTGTGGAATTGTAGCCATGACGCGACGAGTCTTTTTTACGCTTAATGGTGTCTTCATCTCCTTTATGGGGATGGTTCACACTAAAACAGAGGTATTATTCCCCACACTTCGCATTAGCAACAAGGAGCGTGCAAGCTTCACTGTGAATTTTGGCTCGACTGCGTTCTGCTACGATTTCCGACGGCTCCACCCCGCATTATGTGTTTCTTGTTCTCCAACGTGGTATGATGTTGCTTCGACGGCGGAGATTGCACTTCATTACGTCACAGCTCGTGCGTGCTCCATGCAGGACTTGAGTATGCCTAGTGCGCGATCGTTCGTTGTTGACTGTTGTGAGGTGGTATGTCGCCGCATCAATCGAATAACATCTTCGGTCATGAATGTTGGTGTCGGCAAAAATGATAGTTCTGAAAACCGTAATCAACAAGCAGTACTTATCGCTGTTGCTGAATCCTCCATTATGAATTTCATTGCTACACTGCGCCACATTTTACGAGCCACAAATCCCCACCCGCTTCCTGATGTCGTGATCGAAATGGTATTTAACGCAGTGACTGTTCTCATGATGTTACCTCTTTACTCCATCCAAATGTCCACCATCAGCTTTCTACCAGAGCTTTTGCCCCATATTCGTCAAGTGCGGGATCCAAACGCTTCTGCTAAACTTGTCAAGACGCTGTTTCTTCACGCCAAGGTGCCGGTTGATCCACGAGAGACAATTACGTTTGTCCCATTTTGGCAGCAGTGCGATACGCGTTGTGTATCCATCACGCACATGCAGGTGGCGTATATGCAGCCCGAGGCTCAACGGAGCATCATTCTCGGCAATGTTCTTCCACGAACAGGGAAGGTTTCGTTTTCAGTGCGTGTTTTTCGTAAGGGATTCTCGAAGAGTCATTCGCTAAAAGGTGGGTATTACGTTGGAATATCGATTGCTAACCTTGCGCCTCTGTCGCCGACAAGCAACTCACAGAGCTGGAAAGCTGTCAAGCCGCCTGTTGTATGGGCCTTACATGATATTTCGCCACAACTTCCCCACGCAGCGAACCCAACAGTAAAACCAAACAATTTCCATCGAACTTTTGGGAGTGGTGAAGCGATTCGTGTAGTTATTGATCGTGATGCTCAGACAGTAAGCTTTTACCGTGATGATGATTTCCTCAAGACACTCTTTACGGATATTCCGTCCAACATCGATCTGGTGCCATTTGTTCAGCTTTACAATGACGATGCATCAGTCTCAATTGGTGCTGGGGACATGACAGCACCCATTTCGTCTGCGACACTCCTCGGCGCTGCCTCTGTTGATGTGCTACGCTGCATGCTGACACTGGAGCCATTTGAAAGTCTTGTCGCAGATGGACTTTGCCAAGAACTTAATAACGCTGCGTTCCCCAATGTAACGTTGGCCCTTTTCAAAAGCACACCGGATCCACGGGTGCTGCAACTTTGCAGTCGCAATGGTGAAAAGGTTTTGGTGGTGGTACGTCGTTTAATGCGGTGGTGGGCCAAATTTTCTATTGGCAATGTGTCTTACTACGAGCACATCAATAACCTTCGTACGGCGTCTTTTTTGACCATGAATGGAACATTTGATGTGAATGATCCATCTGCACCTCTCTCCGGTGTTCAACGCTGCATTGCGAGTTTGGTTTCTACTTTGCACCGGCTTGCCGTTCCCCTCGTCACGACACAGGCTCTATGTCTTGTCGAGACACAACAGCGTCGTCAGATACTTGAGAATGAGAAGGACCAGTGGGACTACCTGTTCCATGGTGTCCGTGTCAGTCAGTTTGTTATCATTCAACGACTATCACAGCGGATTTCGATGTTTGAATCACCACGTATCCCTGATGGCTACGCTTTTTCAGCTGTTCTGTCACACCCCGGCTTCGACTTCTCCCCTCGTTACTGCGGTCGCCTAGCGACAGTGCCGAGTGATGCGGGAAATACAACAGCACCTTTTATAGCCATCGCCGAGCCGGCAGTGCCGCTCAAAGGTCGGTTTAATGTACGATGTCAGCTTCTGCGAGGTCATACTGGTCAGATTTTGGGTGGCGGGTACTACTTTGGTGTTTGTGTGTCTTCTTTCGATTGGAAGCGACGTGATCTCAATGTGGGTATTCCAGAAGTGTGGGCAATCCACGACATGGACGACACCCCTTGGAGGTTGCGACACTTATATCCAGCTACTCGCTTTCAAATTACGGCAGATCCCAACTGCATCCTCGTGAGTGGTGATATTATACGCCTCGAAATTGACCGTGACGAGGGAACGATGCATGCGTACCGCAAGAGTGCTAATCAAGAAGAAACCCTATTGGGTCTTGTTTTTGACAACATACCAAATGAAAAAGAACTCTTTCCATTCGTGCATCTCTACAACACGGATGCTGTTGCTGTGCTTTTACCATCTGATGGCGACCGTCCGGCAATAAGGACAACCGTTCAACAGCCACATTTTGCCCTATGTCTTTCAAATGAGAAGCGGAATTGCGATGGCTGTGTTGCACAACATGTTGAGACACGTTTGACATCTCAGGTGTGGTACAAATGTAATGAATGCGTTGACTATAACTTGTGCAAGTGGTGCTTTGAATTCTGTACTCATCCCCGACATGCCTTTACAGAAATGGGAACACATCCTCTCGTGTACAGTAGTGCTCCTCCCAAGTGTATTTCGGTAGGAATGGACCTGGTGATTCCAGGTACTAGCGCATTGTACCTAAAGAGCCGAGGTTGTCGTATGGACGAGAAGCGTATAAACTGCGTGGCAGAGTCAAGAGAGAGCAGAGCTATGGCGATGTGGGGTATTGTTTTTAAAAAGACAGCCACCTTCACTGTTGTGGTGGAAACACTCAGTGGTGAACCTTTGTGCCTTGATAGTTCCATGTTTGTTGGCATTGGTGAGGCTGAGGAGGTTGTTTCTTTGTCACCAGAGGCTCTCCGCAGCCGGTGCATTTCAGGGGAAGCTGATATTGTCTCTATTTGCAGTGATTCTTCACTGAGTCGTAAGCTAACTTCCCCGAGTCTTTCTCCTTGTGGCCTTCATCGCGGCTCGACCATCACCATCGAGGTTGACGCCGCGTCGGGGTTGGCGACTATTCGGCGAGATTGGGTAACACTCGGCACACAGCCATTCTCTGCCACCCGCCTCTCCCAACCTGTCAACCTGGTGGGATTTGTGCTGTTTGGACAGAAGAACGTCATCGCTTCCATCTACCCCGAGGAGTGCCCAACCCTCTCTGGTGTCGTGGAAGGCGTGGATAAGGGCTTTGTTCGTGTGTCATGCCAAGGGGGGATGCGACTGCTAAAGCCAGAGCACTGCCGAGTGCCCCTATATTCATGTCAAAGTCCACCAAAACCAAATACGTTAGGCTATGTATTTGTGAAGAAGAAACTTGTTCAATGTAACGTTGTCGCTGTGGAGAAGGAAGAAGTCAGACTACATTTTCCCGCTGATGATGTAGGACAGACGGTGCCGTATACTCATTTTCTAACGAGTCGGTGCGATGTTATAGCAGAGGAGAGATCGCTTCATCGTGAGGTTGGTGAAACAGGCCTCACGGTTAGTGATGGTTTCGTTATTTCCAGGCTGCTTCTCATTCTTTCATGTCTGTGTGAAAATGAAGCTCTTTCTCCTCTTGTACTGTCGCACTCTCCTGGGCTCCTGAGTGTCCTCAGTCGTCTGGCTGCGGTGGAGATCAACAATGATGCTCCTACGGAGTTTATTCAAGAAGTTCGCACGGCAGTAGCTGTGACATGCAACTGTATGCGTGTGGTAACAGGAAACAGATGCCTTGAAGGATTCATGCCATCGCTTACCATTGATGATCATTGTTTAAAACCAAAACGTGGTATGCTTATGTGTGCTGTTGAGGGACCGTCTAGAGGAAATATTTTCGAGGTAGTTGAAATGGAATCAGGTGGTTTCTTTAAGGGTGCAGAACATCAGCTCCACTCTGTGAAGAAGGTGCTCCATACGAAAGATTGCATTCCTGTTAAACAGTGCAATGGGAAGCCGTGGTGGACATTGAATAATGGATTGCCCTGTAGCTTGCTTGAGCACACATTACGAGTGACACAACCTGAAAGTGGCACAAAGAATACCACTCTGGAAGGTGAATGGCAAGGCGAGGTCACGGTTCCAAGGAGTAGCACCGGTTCGATTTGGCTTCGGCTGATGGCGGATTGCACGGGAACAGGTGTCGTCAGTTTTCCCTCGTTTTCGGTGGAGTGTGTTGTCTTTGGTGAATACATGCGGTACAACCGAACAGTGCGTCTCTGTCTCTTCGATGCTGGTAAGTCGACAAGGTGTCGTGGGTTCCACTTTCAGAGTGGAAGTGAGGAAATGTCCTTTGATGTAGCGGTGACTCGCCTCGAGGCGATGTTGTCGGATAATGAAAACCCCAGCCTTATTGCCGTCATGAATGGAATTATTGACAGGGAAGGGCAAAGAGTGCTTGGTGCATGGAAGCCAAAGAATGATAGAGCTGGAACATTTGCAATGAATTCTTTCCATCGAGTGACATTCATTTCTCCTACGACAGAATTGGCGCACATTGAACCGCTCCCGGACTGCAAGGACCCTATAATACCACCACCACCCCAACGTGACATGGTGTCCACAATGCACCGCCTCGTGGTGCTGCTCGCCCGTCATTTGTATCTCTTTATTCTTACCAAAGGCGATGCGGTGACCAGAGACGCCATTCGTGGTATTATACACTTCCATTCTCACCCGTTGACGGACCGACTCCTCTCGACTTATGTGGATATGGATCAACTGCTGCGTACTGTATATGAGACACTTTATATCATCCTTGATCCCAACACAAAGCCATGGGATTCTACCACACTGTCCTTGTTGATCACAAAATGTGTCCTCCTCCGACCCGAGGTTGCCACACATTTTCCTAGTCTTCTTTGGGACTCTTTTCACGCTGTTGTTGCGGCCACGCATCAATGTGGTGAGGAATACCGTCATCACCTGATGAAAAATATAATTCTATTCGTTGAGAAGCACTGCCGTGGATTTGATGGTATTTACACTCAGCTCCTTTCCATATTGCTCACATGGGTGGACCGGGGTGTTTCGAGCTTTTTAAGCTCCTCTGAGATACGCAAAGACGTTGCTGCTGGTGTGGAACTTGTCATGAGTGTAGGGAAACCACTTCTTGATCAAACTATTCGTCATATTCCATTGGCGCCACTAAAGTGTCTGATTAACATGGCGAAGGCCTTCCGAGCAGGACTTCCACTACCTAAAACAGTTGACTTTGTCGAGGAGGAGACAACGGTGCGAAACATCTCCCCAGTTGAGGCAATCTGCACCTTTGGTGAGCTTATTGAAGGTGTTCTTAAGGTTGGAAAAGTCAGAAGTTCTTGTGCTGCAGGTGCGCATGGGAAATACTACTACGAGACAACGCTACCTGATAGACTTACTGCACCGTTTGTCATTGGGTGGGGAACGGAACAGCATTCGGAAGTTCCAAGCCAGCACGTTGGAAGTGATACATGCAGCTTTGCCTTTACAGGGAATGAGATTTCTTCAAAGAACAAAAAAGAGGAATATAAGCCTGGACAAGAGGTATTGCCCAAGTCCGTGATTGGTTGCCTTCTTGACATGGATGAGAAGTTAGTTGCCTGGTCTGTAAACGGCGCGTATGGCCCCTTTGTACCCATTCCGGTCGATCACGGGGATCATGGCCTCTATGCCTTCGCCTCAACCGGCTCCTGTAGTGGCATGCGGGTGTCACTGAGCGCCGCTCAGTTTATATACGTTCCCGATGGGTATTCCGATCTCTCGGGACGTTACACACGTGTCGTCATCTCAACCTTCGACGAGGAACTGGCGCAGAGCGCCCTGCCGGCTCGGCCCATATCCTTCTACGGGCAGTTGGCTTCGTACCTCTCCGACGTGGAGGAGTTAACATCGTCAAAGCCCAATGCAAACACCTCGTCCTTTTCGGCACTGTCATCAACGGCGGCTGAGATACCAGAACTGGCCCTTATGAGGCGCTACCCTTCAGTGATGCATCTCACCTACGATGAAAGACGGGAATATACAAAGGTGATTCGCGTTGCAGAGAGTTGCATGGCAACTGCACGCCGCTTTATTGATTTGGATAGTGATGTGGTTGACGGCTGCTTGTCAAGTTCTTTTCTGCTCATGAGGCACATAGTGCGTCGGTCGTTCAGTAAGAACCTCCTTGTGAGTATCCCGCCTGTTGAGAAGAACCCTAATCCACCAATCATCACGGTGCGGATAACAGAGTTATATTCAACTCTTCCACGCACGCCTGAAGTTGCTCTTCAGCGCTCTGTTCTGTCGCAGATATACAAACAAATCGGATCCTTCACAAATAAACAATTCAGACAGTCCCCCCTATTTAAGGTAAATCTGTACATCGCTGGCACAGGACACGCACCACACGATCTTGGTGGTCCGTACAGACAATTGTGGACGTTCCTCAGTGAAGAACTTATGGCACACCCGGATAAATGCTATCCGCATACAGATTACCATCGGAACCCACTTTGCCGCTACCTGAACAACTCCCATAGAGTTGCGCTGGTTCCTGATAGTTCGGCGAACTCTGAATATGACCTTGTTCTATTGAATTTCCTTGGAAAAACCATGGGTCATGCAGCAGCAGCTGGGTCTCCTCTTGCATTGGATTTTTCACCCTTTGTGTGGAAGTATTTGGTGGAGGACACCCTCACGGTAAAGGACTACTACAAGGACGTTGACAGTGTTGTGGAAAGGAGTATGGAAGATGGTGATTTTCTTATGAGTGGTATGGCCGAGGAAATCATCCCCAACCTTGCAGCAAAGGTGCTGGCACTTGGATGTGGTGGAGTCGGAGTAGAGAGTGAAGATGAGGAAGAGGAGAAGGAGTTGGTGAACAGGCGTCGTCTACTTGCGGAAGACTGTCTTGTTCATTCAATGGACCTGCAGCTGAATGCGATTCGCGAGGGAATGTGGTCAGTCTTGCCCAAGCGTGTCATCCGGTGTCTCTCGTGGAGGGAGCTGGAGCGGATGGTTTGCGGAGACTCGGACCTAACCCCCGAGTTGATGCGGCAATCCATCGAGGTGCAGCTGCAAGGAATCAGAGAACAAGCTTTCTGGCGCATCATTGATGAATTAAGTGTGGAGCAGCGCTCCTCCTTTCTGTGTTTTGCCTGTGGACAGAAGCGACTGCCCCTTATCCAGAAGATCAAAGTGACCGAAAATGCGGAGAGCACCGAACACTTGCCCCGGGCGCAGTCGTGTTCATCGCTCGTGACTGTCCCGCAGTACGACACCTACGAGCTTTTCAAGGATAAGCTGCTGATGGCTATTGCTCATGAAATGGAAATGGAACTGGCATAGTCGATGTATAACGGCTGCTTTGCCTTGGTTAAAATAAAATCAAAAACAACAAAGGCTGAAACAAAAGGAAAAAAAAAGCAAAATTTTCTCTTCTCTCTTTTTGTTTTGTTTTCGTCACGCCGGTTCTTGCCACTCGGATGGGGGCGTTTCATTTCGACTTATGTCTGGAGTTGCACACGGGTATTTCCCAGCAGTGCATTCAGTTGTTCTTTCGGTATGAGTGAGGGTTGGATGAAGGCGCGGCCTACACGCATACACACATACACACGTATGCCATGTATTCCATAGATATCTTTTTGCTCACCTTCTTCTCTCTCGAAGGTTGAATGCGCCGGGGAACACCGGCGACACATGCCCTCCCGCTGGTAGTGGCGTCATCTGGGTGCGCATCATGGGTAGATGTCCTTACCACCTACCAAACGACATGTGGGTTACTGCGTGGGATTTACCAGCCGACGACAGAGGAGCTGAACCGCGGCCTCTCAAGGATGGAGACGTCGTGGGGTGTTTCTCTTTTTTACTACGATATCGTCAAGGGTGTCTGTGGGTACAAGCAACCGGACACGCGTCTTGTCAGCACAGCTTTGGAGCGTTTTAAGCGCTGTGGAAATTTTTACGCCATTAAGCAAATTATGGAAAGTGATGTGGACCTCTCAACAAGAGAAGGGGCACGCTCGGCATTGATGTATGCCTCGTTTACAGGGATGTGGGAACACGCCTTTGCCCTCTACGAGAACAATACACGAATGCAACAAAATCTGGCAGATACACGTATACTGGTGAATATACTGGCAATTCACGGTCGCTGGAGTGACGCTCTGCGAGTACTATACCGCCGATCACCACCATTGTTGGGCCCAGGCTTTGTCAAACCGATTGTCCGCTCACTAGGTTTGGCAGGAGAGTACAAAAGAATGATGTGCCTTGTCGCTGCCACCTTGGCGCAAGGCCACACTATGGATGATAAGCTATTTTCTGTCTTGGTAAGGCCGCTTCAAAAAAATGGCCAGTGGAGCGCCGCACTAGATGCAGCTGTGGAATTAGGCTTGCTTTCATCTTCACGGGAAACCACTCTGAAAAACATGGCCATGTATGGTGGGCTTGTTGATTGCCTGTACTCTGCAGACCCGTACGACAACTTTACTTTACGCCAAATTGTGGATGATATCACTTATCGAATGCATCCGCGAAAAATGCGTCTGACGTCAGCTAAGAGGATGGAAACGAGATTTCGTCTATTAAACAGCAGTGAGATATTTCGAAAATATCGTCGCTACCTGAATCCACTGAGCTTGATCTATGTGAAGGTGTTGTCATTAAGTAATGTTCACTCACGGCCTGTGTCTGAGATTGCGGATGAAGCCTTTGATCGAGATGAGACACTTATTGTTCTGGATACAAATTTTCTTGTTCAATGCACGGCGAAAAATCTACCCCTTAGTCACTTTTACCCACCTATGCGAAAACAGTACCCGCAGCTTGAAGGGAAATCTCGCCTACGTGTGATAATCCCCTTCACAACTGTGCGTGAAATTCATCATCTTGTCTGGAGTCCTGGAACACAGTTAAAAAGAGCAGTTCGAGTTCTTTTGTGGTCCCGTGTGATGTCGTTTCTGAAGCAGCCCTCAGTTACTGTTCTGGCATTGTCTTCAGAGTACCCATGCACCTCGTTCTCTGTCGTCTCTCGTTTGGCATATTCGCGCCTAAATGAACCGGCTAGCGAGAATGATCCTGACATACGCATACTTAACACATGTGTTGCTCTTCAGCACGCATTTCGACAACGAAGCGCGGCTTCGCTTCAGGGAAACTCTCAGATGGCTGATGGGACTGTGCTTTTTTCATTCTTGAAGTACCATGTACGCCGCCATCACCGTGATGTTAGAGGGATAGCCTGCCAGCAGCTGCTCCTCTGTACATTGGACAAGCGTTTGTCTGCTGCGGCGGACGAATTGGGTATTCAAACGTTTCCGCAATTTCATGTGTTGGATAACAGCACCAGTTCTTGAGGAGAAGGACACATTTGGGGGGCGGGGGGGTATGGTTCCTTTCTCCTGCTATGTGTGAATTGTTTTTTTTTTTGTGATTGTTGTCTCTCTTAAGCCAGTGGGTTCTCAACCTCTGCGTACCCCGCACATCTGGTGTTTTTTTAAATTATTACTATTATTTTTCATTGTTGAAGTTTATCTTATTCTCGCCATATCATTCTTCATCTTGCTGCAGTCTCACATCCAGCTCCTTCTTCAAGTCATAGAGCAATGTCTACGATTCAAGCCAATTGCAGAGTGTGCCATCGGAATACAGGTAGGCTGGTTAGTCCCTGCGCGTGTGAGGGCTCGATGAAGTATGTTCATTCAAGTTGTCTATCGGACTGGGTCTTTTACCATCGATCACTCACTTGTGAGGTGTGCGGTACAACGTACAGTGTCGCAAAGGTTTTGTCTTGTCAGCGGAATGGCGCGACATGTGAGAGATACCTAGACCTTTTATGGATTTGCATGCGGCGCTTCATGCGGCAGAACCTACATACCCTCCTCTGGGCGCTGTTCCGCGTACTAGCCCTCATGCTTCCTATTCTGTGTATTGCAGTTTTTTACCGCGTCTTTGGCCCACTTCTCTCACCAAACTTGCCGTGGAGTTCCGTTACTCTATCATGGATCGATGTGGGCGATTACTCATTTTCCTCCTCTTTGGCTGCGAGTGTGGAGATAATGCTTCTTCAGAGTCCAATTTTCTTTCTCTGGGATGCGTGGCGAGGGTGGTACGCCTCAAACGAGGACATTCTTGTAGGCGTGATGCAACTTGAAGCAGAAGAAATGCAGACAGCGGCGGAGAGATTTATCCCCAATGAACGCCTGACGGAGTCAGATGAGGAGCCTGACGAGGAATTCCTGCACACCACGAGTGAGAATCATGCACTCGAGCCGGCTCGACTCCCAGAGGAAAACGCGACGATTCTCGAGGCTATAGTCTCAGCGCGGTATCAACGAAAGGACTTTCCGAATACACATTGGCTGATACCATCATCGATGTTGCGCTTCAGCACACGGTTCATTCTCTTTTATTTATCTCTATGGTTGCTGTTTAAGCTAATCCCTGAGGGGCTGCATCGTGCGGCAACGGTGTTGTGGGGACTCTTCGACGGCACTCAACGTTGCGCTACTGGTGTCGAGCAAATCCTCATGGTGATATCCGAATCAAGTGGCGTTGCGCGTGTTCGGTGTGCCATGCTTTTCTCATTCGCTGAAGCTGTGATTTCTTCTAGTATGGTCTCCTGGACCCTTACATATGGCCGAAGAATGCTTGCTGTCTGGTTGTTGCTGTTTTGCGCGAAGCGATTGACTCGTATGCCGTATCGAAAGACAATTGCCTCCACAGTTATCTACCTGCGGGGGATACTGAATTTGCTTATGCTCGTACATCTCGCTCTTCCAACAGTGTGCTTTCTGACAATGGTTCTCTCTCTCGATTTCTTTGCGGCGGATACCTCGTTTGATGCAGATGACTATAAAGCAGCTTGGAAATTACTTGGCCTATCGTCCATGAAGCGTACATCTCGTGTTTATTCTACTGATCTACCACATGCTGTGGAGTCGCCATCACCAGTGACTATTTTGAAGGCATTAAATACTCTTTCGCAGGCAGAACTCGAAGATCAGTGTTGGAATTTTGGTGACACGTGTATTGTGAATAGCACAATGACTTCGAATAACGAAGTGTGGACGGTGGAAGGTAATGACCCATGGCTCTTTCCGCTCTTTGCTGCCACAGTTTTTGTGTCCAAAGTTGACATAATTGCGCTCATTACGACAGGATATATGGCAGTATTCTTTGCAGCCTTTGTTTACGGCCTTTTATGTATTGGTGTCGCATCACTACCCAGGGGTTGGGTTAGATGGAGTTCTCTTTGCCGAATTTTACATGCCAACGTCTATCAGGTAATCAGTTTTTTTGACGTGAAAACCTTACTTCTCGTCTATGGTGAGGTGGTTGCCCTAACAGTGTTTGCTTTGTATATACTTCTTCGGAACTCATTAACTTTGGTTCGTGTTATAGATCCAACTGTGTTGCCTGTGATGTTCATGGAAGGTGCTAACGCCTCCTCATCTGTTTGTTGGGTGCGAGTGCTGTTCCTTATCTACACGGCTCCGCAAGAGATTTTTGAAGCTCTTCACCAACGCATCACGGGCGCGGTGGGGAGTTTGTTTGAAATTGGTGAGGTGATGCAGAGGGGGCCAATTTCGCTGCCGCAATATTTTTCGAGGGTTGTCCGAGTTACTGCGTTCGCTGCATGCTATTGGATCTCTATTGTTCTGTTGATGACGGCATATACGATTCCTGGGATTTATATGGTAACTAGGCGGATGGGAATTGCTCGCGGTATTCTTTTTGCACATCTGAACGCATACAAAGGCGTACGCTTTATCTACCCAAATGCATTGCCCGTAGCTGTAGCGCAAATGAGAAATTTGGCTTTACAAGTTCCCTCTATGCTTGTTGATTGGAAGCAAAAGTGGTGGATCAGCTCGTGTTTGGGGTTGTGGCTGAAGAAAAGGTTAAACCCTGGAGAAAACCTCTTCTCATACGAGCTTGCACGCGTTCACGGTATGCCTTCGGATGTTCGCTTTGAGTTTGCTTTTGAGATTGAGACCACCTGTGCGCGTTTGAGGGAGTACACAAGAGATGGAAATGCGTATTTGTCCCTTCAGCGAATAGAAAGCGCTCTGAAATGTCATCTTTCCTCTCGACGCGCAAGCGCTAACACTTGTTATCTGACGGAGGAAGATGTATCCCTGCTGCATGATTGCTTGAGGCTTCCCAGTGTTCAGCACTCTCTGCGTTTTTTTTTGACGTGGGTGATTCTGGTGCTGGTGTTCCCTTGTTTAGTTGGAGCGGCGGTGCTCTCATTCCTGCGTAGTTTGTTCTCTACGCCGCACTGCTATACAGGCCCTTTGATTTCGATGGTCCTCATGTCATGGTTATTAGGCATTCTGGTGATGCTCTTGCTTTGCATTCGTAAAACTGCGCGAATAAACCTATTTGCACGATTGCGACTGTATCTCTTTTGTGGGTGCCACCACTTTACGACAATGGGCGGAGTCGTTTTTGTGGTGGTGCCTATATTTGTACAGGTTGGAGCTGTCACAATTGTTCCATATGCTTTGCATAACGCTCTGCTTCCGTTGATACTACGCCCAGGAGACACACCTGCTCTGAATCCTTTCATCTTCCTTGCTGGAGTCCTGGAAGCGTTGAACCTCACTGGAGGGAATTGGACAAGGAGAGAAGTTGCGAGGCGTGTGCTGACGCGACTACGCGACGTCGTGGGCCAGGGACCTCCGGTAACTGATGTGCCTTCTGCGGGCGGCTCCGACGCTGTGGAGGCTTCCACACGGCAAGACGGTGCTCTTGAGGAAGAGTCGAACGGCGGGGAAGCGCCCCGTACCTTTTTGATGCGCACAATTGACGCGTCGATGCGTTTGTGTAGAAAGAGTTTAGCATGGGCGAAATTCAAGTTACACACGGTGGGAGAAGCGAGCGTGATATTCCTCAAGAAGATGGCTGAAAGGGAAAGTGTCATGACGGTCATATTCGTGGACCGGCCAGTAACTGCCGAGTAAGTCTTCCGCACAATGCACCGCTCTCCTCTCCCTTGTCTACATTTTTTTTGTGTTTGTTGTTTAGTATTCATTTAATTCTGTGTTTCATGCCGGGGTGGCAGTTGTGGTAAAGTTGTAACATTTCTACTTTGCTTCTTTTTTTTTTTTCTTCTTCCTCGTCTTCTACTGGTGGATTTGATCACCTTTTTCAACACTCTTATCCACAACACACGATCTCTGTGAAACAGTTGCCAGCGTCTTCTTGGGAGCCATGGAGGAAGACAACCTGCGTGACTTAATGAACCGGCTGCGGTTCGCCACAGGGAAAGCCGCTGAAGCTCCTCTACCGGAGGCGGCGTCTGCGAGCATCGGTGACCAGTGTCTTTTGGTTCTTCAACAGTCTTTGCGTCGTCACCCCGCCTTGGTGGATGCACACAAATCGCGAGATGAACTCAAGAGAGGAATCATGGAGCAGCTGAAGCGTTCTATACAGGCTGATGTTGCCCCATCAAACGATGTGAGCCGATTACAGGGTTGGATCAACGAAGTGTCAGATGCTCTTGAAATTGAGCGATTATCAGCAGTCTACCGTGAACCGGAGCAGGTACATAATGAGGCTCAACAGCGTATCCTTGAGGAGCTTGGATTTGAAACCCTTCCGCAATTTTCACAGTTCAGTGTAGACGATTTATCTCCATGGAACTTACTGCTGACCCTCGTTTCGGGACCCCTCTTGTCAGTAGATGAAGTAAGGCACAGACGGATGGAAATGCATATTCCAAATCCTACTCCGGCAATGGTATCTGATCTTGTGGAGATAAACAATAATGTCTACTGTACAACATCATGGTTATCATTGTTAAACAGTCTTGGGGAGTTTCCAATCAAGACTGTTCGGCACGTTTGGCTTGCTGCCGTTTACTTTTTTCCAACGAGTGGCCCTGTTGTTGCGGCGTATCTGCGTAGGGAAATCGATGAACTGGCGAAACGACGGTGCCTCTGGGATGAACAGGATGAGGATGATGCCAAGGAAACATATCGTTCCTACTGCCGAGTGTTGAATTGCTTCTTCCGTCATCTACCACTCTGTTTCAGTGTAGATCTATTTAACCTGTTCTTTGACTTTTTGGAGTGTTACATAAAACCAGACGACTCGGCATTAGATAATGTCTTTAGAACAGCATTACAACGAGACATTGGGCACTGCCCTGCGAGTACGGACATTTGGAAGCAATACATTCGTTGGAAAGGCGATCGAATCCACGATATGCAGCGAAGACGGGAATGGGTACGAAAAATGTACGTTAGGGTGCTTCGGACACCATTGAATAATCTACAAGATGTCAAGGAGGACTATGATTACTTTTTGCGCGCTGAATACAGAGGAAGGCCTCCATCTGAGGGTCGCCTAGAGGAGCGCTTTGTTCGAGCGAAGGGTGCTGCATCGGAGATCAATCGTTTTTTGATGACCCTTCAGGGGGGTTGGACTGGTGGCATGCAGAATGGAGATGTATTTCCAAAGTCACTTTATCTCCCACGCCCAGTCAAACTGCGGCTGGACAACAGAAATAATATGGTGGACGATAAAGAGGAAAACATGCAAAGGTTGGAGGTCGAGCTTTGGTCACTTTGGACTTCGTTGATTGACCGTGAAACAGTCTCTTCGGCATATGCAGGAATTGAGCTCTTTGGGTATGAACGGCTGAGGTTTTTTCTCGCGATGCGAAGTAGTTCTTTTCCTCACCAAGCATTTTGCTGGATTAGTTACACCGACTACTGTCTTGGTCAGCAACCCCTTCTCTCTGAAGGAGAGCGTCAGCTAATGGCAAGGGGGGTTCTTGAAAAGGCTTCCTTTCTATTACCAAGAAACTTTTACATGCAGGTGGCGTACTGTGATTACATGTTGCGTGAAGTTGCAGATTCTGAATGTGCCCACAGAACCATAAAGGGACTACTAACGCAGCAGCGTCAACTCGTTGTGGATTACATCAAAAAGCAGCCTCTTGTTAGCCTTGACAAGGCGCTAACTGCATTGGAGAACATTACTCTGCTCTCTGTAAACTGGATGCGGTGGGGTAGCCTTGATAAGACAGTGACAAACACACAATATGTTCGTCTTGTGGCGCGTTTTACGATGCATCGGGTGGATTTTCTCTCCTTGATAATGGGTGTTGTGCGCCGCGCTTCTCGTGAAGACAGGAAATTCACACCTCACCGATGCCAGCACGCATTTAATACGTTTTGTCATTTTTGGATTAAACTGGAGCTCATCCGCAATCAATCCAAGGAAGAGGCAGTTATTATACTTCAGCGATGGAAGGATCATTTGAAGATGTTTTTGAGCTCCGCTAAAGACCGAGGATGGAGTTTAGTTGACTGTGGTGTTGATGAGTATTTCATATCCAGTTGTTCGGACATTTGCCATAGCCACCCCCAAGCTGTGGGAAGGGCTTTGGGCTTTATGGAAGAGGTGCGACTCACTGCTGTAGAATCTTGCTCATTTTGTTTGACAGAATTGGAAGCATTGGTGGAAACTACGAGACGTCTTCGTGACACATTCTTTGTTCTGGACAGCGACGCCAATAGTCTCTCGTCTTCCAAGTTGCCCCTTCATCTCTTCAGCATGAGACTGAGGGGTGCCACTGTGCCATTGCAAACCTATGACCATCACTTGTTTTCAGCCGAGTGTGCATGGCACGAAGGCGAGATGCCTCTGCTGCAGGTGGAAAAGCCCTCTGAGGAAGGCTGCTTCAACGGCACCGCCTCCCAGGGCCCTCTGGAGGCAATGCCAGATGATGCGCGTTGGGCGCCTCATATTCAAAAGCGAGCCTTCCCCGCAACAGAGGGCGCACCGAATGGGTCAAGAATGAACACAGGCCATGAAGTAAAGTGGAAAAAAATCAGACGGCCACCAAATCGACGTGTGCTGGTTACTAAGGGTGCACTCATGAAGGATCTGTCATTTGCAGTCCACGCTGTAGAAAGCGGCATGGCTGGTGCCGGGCCGGCTCTGCGCAGAGTTGAAGAAATGCTAACCGTGCAGATGCCCTCAGTCTACGAGACTGACATTTTGTTTCTCGATAAAACGGTCAACACGGGATGGCTGCTGGAGTTTCTTGAACGGATGCCTGCGCTACAATAAAACAAGGGGGAGCGACGAGGAAAAAAAAAAAGACAGAGAGGAGAATATTCAATAATGGAGCCCACACCGTGCGGGGTCCTTTGGTATTGTGGTTGAGTTGACGCCATCGAAAATATTCCCCTTCCCCTTTTTTTTTTACCCCCCCCCCCNCCCCCCCCCCCTACGGGAGATCTTTTGGTTGTGCCTGTGTGTTGTTTCTTTCTTTGTGACTCTGTGTGCGTGTACGATCCTTCTCTTGGGTGTCTTCTGTTAGGGGTGTTTAGCGTGTGCGCCATGCGCCGACAAGTAACCCTTCGGTGTGCAAAAATAGAATTCATTTCCCCAAAGCCGGAAGCGCCGATACAGACCAAGGATTTAAAGCCGATACCTTCGTCCTTGCTTTACCGAAAACTACTTAAGCTCTATCTCCGCAAGTTTGATACGGATCACAAGACAATAGTGGCTGCATGGAAGCAAACGAAGTTTGAGTTCTGGTACCACCGAAACGATGCGCCAGAAGAGGCTGCGATGCAGAATATCCGTGGCCAGCAGATTTATGAAGCTATCCGTGCTGGCTTGATTCCTGTCTACCGTGACAGTAAAACAAACGAAACCTACTTTAAGTACGATGCCGATACGTTAAAGGCGGCCCATAATCATATTGATCCTGTGGATGTCGAGGAGTTTATTCGCCGTTACCACGACAAGATTCCCACCGACGATGTTGCGGAGGTGAAATCAACACTGAAGAAACTCGGCCGTTGGAAGGGGCCCGATGTGCTGCGTGAAGAAGATCTCCACCGTGTGAAGCAAAAAGTGAAGAGGGTGAAAACAAAGTGTACAGATCCTGACGACTAATACCCTGCATTCTTTTTGTTGTTGTTGTTTTGCATGGATATAGTAACAATATGTGGAATTGGTTAAACTGTTCTTTTTCTTTTTCTTTCCTGGTGTGAGTGTACTCTGCTTCATCGTCGTTCGTTGTCAACTCTCACTGGTTCATTTTGTTCAGAAGATTTGCACTGAAGGAGGAAGACTTTCCCTCTCACCAGCCCCAGAAAGCAAGGAAAGGGGGAAAAAAACCAAAAAAAAAAACGACACCAGTAACAAAGAAGCATGAATTCTACATATAATGATGTAAATGTCGGCGATCATGACTGGCTCATCACTCGTACGAGCTTGCCTACGATGGATAATGTACTCGATGAGATGGAGCCGCTGACTGAGTTTGTTTGCCCGCCTCTTGTGCCCCCGCGTCGTTCCTCACGGCGGTATTCTTTGATGATGAATGCCTTGTGTATCGGCGGAGTTATCAGTGAATGGGAAAAGAAGGCGATTCTCGCCAGGTTGAAAACATGCTCCCCAGTTATCGAGGAGGACTTCCAGCGCCGTCTTGGTGTGGTCAACGAGCGCAACACAGCCGATTATGTCTGTGGAATTCAGCTTCGCGCCGCGGCGCGTACGGCCGTCGTGCAGGAGGAGCGCCGCCTAGAGTACGAGGAAAAGAATGAAAGGAGGGAGGCGGTCTTTGCCCGTCACAAGAACTTGACAAATATACTACATGATGAGGTCAAGATGTGCAGAGCAAGGCGATGGTACACCATAATTATTTCCCATGTATTCCTTACTGCCCTCATTAAAGAGCGAAGGGTCCACGAAGCCCGCGAAAAAATATCTTGGATGCTTCTTCCCATCATCAAAAGGCGTGCGGCTGTGCAGAGACGACGAGAAGAAGCCGCGCGCCTGACGCGAAGAAATTTGGACAACATACCATTCCCCACACCTACAGTTATTCACAGTATGCAAGGAACTTTTTTCAAGGGGTGGCCACCTCTCTTGTTGGAGATGTTGGCACGAAAGGCACGTCCACTATTTCTCAAGGCGGGTAATTTTTTGATGCACGAGGGCGACCTTGACCGTGCCATGTACATGATAACAACCGGTTCTGTCAGCGTCATCCTCAATGATAGTGCAAAGGGTAAAAAACGGACAAAAGAATGCAGCAAAGCCTGCTTCGCACTCACGCCGCCATGCTATGTGGGTGAGTTTGCTTTGGTATGCAAGGAGCCTCGAAGTGCATCTATACAGTGCGAAACAGATGTTGGTGCCTGGACGGTCTCACCTGAGGACTATGATGACGTGGCCCAGCACTTAAGCCCAGAGGTAGCATCTAAACAGCGAGAAGCAACTGATGTTAGACGACGAGCCAATTTGCAGAAGTTTTTTCCTTTACGTGTTGAATTTCTTCGTCATTTTCCCTACTTTGAAAAATTTAGCACCGCCGCCTTGAATCAGATCATCTCAGCCGTAGAGCCAATCGTGCTTCACGATGGTGATCCTCTTTTTTCAAAATCTGATATGGATTCCTCGGCGTACTTCATCCAGGACGGTGTGGCTATTCTTCTTGAGGAAGATGGAGAACGTAGGCCAGTCCCGCGTGGAAGCTGTGTGGGTATATTTGAATGTGCATGTAGCGTCAACGAAAGGAAAAAAGTTACAATCATTAGCAAGAACTATTGTGATATTTGGAGGATGCGTCGTGATGTTCTTTTAGATGTTGGAATGAGTGAGCCAGCTGCATTTTTGTACTGTCGTGGTGCTGCGAAGTCTTATCGTGCACAAGAGGTGGTTAAACCTACGACTGCCCCTGTTGCAGTGCGTAAGGATCCCTACGTTTTGTTTTGCCTCACTCGTCATTTGATAAATCGATTCTGGGAAAGAAGTGTTCCCGTGATTTATCTTAATGACGAGAAACTAGTGGTTCAGGGACAGCCGTTTCAGCAGTTTATTGTCTTGCACTCGGGGGCCTTTGAAACAACAGTTATTTCTGCGAGTGGTGAGCATATAACACTACGAATCACGGTTAATAGCGAGGGATCCAAAGTGGAGGTCCTATCCTCCTTGAATAGCGGCGGCAGCAGGAACACACGTGAGAAGGGGTCCGGATCAGAAGCAAAAATGTTCTCTAGTTTAGTTTTGGGGGCATACGAATATGCTTCAGGAATGTCTCAGTATTGCTCAACAGTGACTAGCTATGGATTGTCAGAGGCTTTTCTTGTGGACCGTGCGAGCTTTGATGCTATAGTGCCGCCTGAACTAAAGACCATCATGCAAGAAGATAAGAAGGCACGTGAGCTCGTTCAAGCCTCTTACAAGGAGCGTGATACGAACAATCTTACGGCACACATGCATCTCAGTTTTGCATCAACGTATCGCAAGGCAAAGGAGACAGTGACAAAATCTGATGGTAATTGGATGTGACTTTTTTGTGGAATTTTTATGTGTGCAGAGAAAAAAAACAACCAGAAAGGATCTGAGAGGATCATACACAGGTTGCCATGTAGTACTACGCCAGATTTTTTTTTGATATATATGTATATATATATTTATATATATACGAGAAGGTGTGCATGTTTCTTACTTTTTGTCATACACTGCTCCTTTACCGATTTCACTTTTTTTTTTTTTGACTTTGCTTTTTATGGACAGGACATTCCTACTCTTGGGGCGATACCGCTCCGAAATACATTGCAAAGTGGTTGAAATATTCTTGCAGCACACAATGAGCCCAGGCCGGATCCCTTCGCCACGTTACAGTGCAGCAAATGTGCATGTTGAGTATGAATACACACAAATACGTCCACGGTTTGTTTTCTTCGCTGACACATGCGGGTCTTGACTAAAACCAAATGGCAGCAACGCTATGAGCGGTGTACGGAATAAGGTGCTATACTCACGGTGACTTCTTCTCTCATTCACAGAGCTCTTATAGATATGCGAGGATGGCTTGCTCCATTGCTGTTTTTGCAGCTGCTATCCCAGCGCTAATATTTGGAATCAAGGTATTGAAATGGGCAACACTCCGTGTGGGTGAAATCGGTCCGATGCCCTCTTCTGTGTTCTGCAAGTGGGTGTGTGGTCTGTTGGCTCTGCAGATGCCGTGGGCAGCACTCTTTCCTTTTTGATTTGCGTCTGTGGCATGTCTTGGTGGATTCTGTGTTGTGACCGAAATGGCTGTGAAGGGAGCGGCCGCTGCTTCATTGCGTATTGGCAATGCGTCTCTCCCAAATTGATGTGCGTGCTGCGAAGAAGGGAACTCGAAGTGTGGATGAG